TTGTGTGGGAGGGCTGGGGATTTAGCTCAGCGGCATAAGCGCCTTGCAAGCAGGTGGTCATGAGTTCGATCCCCGGTACCGATAAAATAAATAAATAAATAAATAAATAAATAAATGATTAAGAAAAATGTAAAAAAAAAAAATGTGGTGATGCATGCCTTCCCCTGGCCCTTTCCACATACTTGCTAAATGAAACTCAAGTATTTTCTATGGAAAAGGAAATAATCTCGCTCCTTTGAGTCTGTGACAGTGGACTGCGTGTCTGCCTCTACCTCTGAGTCTACATCTAAGACTTGAGCGTGTAGCCCTTGAAGGATTCATGATTGTCTCCCGATAAACCCTGGAGGAAGACAATATTCTACTTTTACAATACCTTACAAGCCTCAACTGTCTATTTCAAAATCCATCCCCTGGTTAATTAGAAATATTAAGAATTATAAATATTATAATATTTATATTGGATATAAATTTATATGGATATATCAAAATCCATCCCTTGGTTAATTATAAATATTAAGAAAACATGACTAATAAGAGGTTGCTACCACTGAATTTTGTTTTAGGGTAGCTCACCCTCACACTAAAGGGTGCACTTTTCTTCCTATTTTTACTTGGCCCAAACTTACTCAGCAGATCCTATTTCTTTTCTTGCCTTTAATGAAACTTTGCTATTATTAAAAAGAAAAAAGTTGCAAGGACATTTTTGCTGCTTATTTATTATTTACAACTATCCTTCACCTGTCAAAAGAGATTTGAGGCTGCTTAAAATAATATATCATTATGCTACATAACTGTTTACATACAGTCACATGAAGAAGTAGGGAAAGAACCAGGTGGAATGGTGCACACCTGTGATTCCTGCTACTCAGGAGCCTGAGGCAAGAGGATCAAAATTCAAGGCCAGCCTGGGCAACTTAGCAAGACCCCATCTCAGCACAAAGCACAAAAACAAATAAGTAAATAGTTAGAGACTTAGGTCAATGGTAAAGCACTTGCCTAGTAAGCACAGGATTGTGGGTTTAATCCCTAGTTCAAAAAACAAAAAAGCTGGAGGTGGTAGAAGAAACTTTTATTTTTGTACCTAATATTGAGATTGCCTGCAGGCCACCATCAGCCCAGGGTTGACCATGGGCCATGTTTATGCAGAGTTCCGAGTGTCTGGCCAGCAGTAATGCGCCACAAGAGGGATGCTCTCATTAAGCCTACCTCAAATGTAGGAAATGAGTTTACAGAGTTAGAGTAGCTTCCCACAGGTCACACAGCTGGCAGGTGTCAGAGAGAATCCTAATTCAGATCTGATGTTCTCTGGAGAGCTTTATCACTGATGAGTATTTTTGAGTAGGTCACATCCCATTAATGGATCACAAAAATCATTTAGTGATTTGTGTGATCTTTTCAAGTGAACAAGATGGAATAGCAATGATCTCTTGGCACAAAAACAGACATGTGGATCAATGAAACAAAATAGAGGATGCAGAAACCACCCTAGGCACATCCCACTCTCTGATCTTTGACAAGATATCTTCTTTAACAAATGATACCGGGAAAACACAGCAGATTGAATCTATATCCATATTTTTCACCATGTACTAGTGAAAATCAAAGTAGATCAAAGACCTAAATATTTAAAAAGAAACAATGTACTAGAAGACAAAATAGGTGAAACTCTTAAAGACATTGGCATAGGCATGAATTTTCTGAACAGAACTCCAATAGCACAAGAAATAGTACAGGAATTACCAAGTGGGATCATATTAAATTAAAGTGGAATCAAATTGAATTTAGAAGTTTCTTCTCAGAGAAAGAAATAGCCAAAAGAGTGAAGAAACAACCTGCAGAATGAGAAAAAACTTTGCCAGCTATTCCTCAAAGAACTACAATATAGAATATATCATGAACTCAAAAAATTAGACACCCTTTCAAATAAAATATCCAGTCCAAAAGTGGGTAACTGAAATGAATAGAAACTTTTCAGAGGAAGTACAAATGTTCAACAAATAAATGAAAAGAATTCAACGTCTCTGGCCATTAAAGAAATGTAATTAAAAACACTATAATTCCCTCTTACTCCAGAAAGAGTGACAATATTAAGAAATCAAATAATAACAAATGTTTGCAAGGCTACAGGGAAAAGGAAGCCTTCCACATGCTGGAGGGAATGTCAGCTAGTACAACCACTGTGGAAATCTGTAAGGAGATTCCTCAAAACACTAAAAGTAGAAATGCTATTCAATCTATTCTATGCTCAATTCCTATTTATCTCCCATTGGGAGATATCATATTACAGTGACACATACACACCCATAGTTATAGCACCACAACTCATAATACCTAAGTCTTGGAAGCAGCCTATATGTCCATCAAGAGATGTATGAATGAAGAAAATGTGATACACAATGGAGTACTACTGCACAATAAAGGATAAACGATCATTCATAGGGAAATGGATGCACTTTGACACCATAATGTGAAGTGTAATAACTCAGACAACTGAGCTTAACTATAGTTTCTCTTATATGGGAAACACAAAACCTAAATAAACAACAAGAATAAATTATAATAAGAAATAGAGAGATAGGTCTTTTGCAAAAATAGAAGGGGCCAAGAAACAGAGGGATGTGGGAGAAAAGGGGAAAGAACGAGATGAAAAAGATAATCAAGATGAGTTACATATGTGTGCCAATCCCCCATGAAGAATATAATCATTATGTACTTTAAGTGTACCAATAAAATAAAAAAGGATAGCAATGATCAGAGTTAATCCCAGGCAGTTAATCACAAGCAATATTTCAAGAGAATTTTTTTCACGGAGGGCAGTTTGCAGGGGTGGGCAAACATGTGAACGGGTGTGTGAGTGTGGAGGAGTGTGGTTGTGTTGAATATGTATGTGGGGTGGATGCATGGGTGGTTGGGTGAGTAAGTGTATGTTTACATTGGATTGTGATACAAAACATTTCTGTGTCTATTTTTAAAATTTCAAATCTGCCACCTTGAGGTAAGCTGAGTGTCCCTCATTTATGTTCCAAACACCAGAAGACAACTTGTTTTTAAAAATCTGCCTTCTGTAGAAATTTTTACAACCAGGGAGTTGAGATTTTCAAGTCTGTGGCTCAATACAGCTCTTCCCTGTGCGAACAGCTTTCATAAACCAGCACCTAGAATCACACAGCAGAGAAAATCTTCTTAAAGTACCCACAGACTTGACTCATCTTATTCCTGGTTACTGATAATAAATCATTCATTTGCCACTGCAGTCAGCACAGAGAAAATATTTTGCTTTTATAAGAACCAAAAGCAGTGACTAGAAAAGCATCCTAGACCTGCACTCTAAGTTAGTCTTCTCAGTCAGCAAAAGCCTAGAAGGGGCCTCAGCGGGTTCCCTGAGACGCCCCACATCATCAGAGCGCCCATGCAGGGAGACAAGCTGCTCTGTTTTTCAGTGTTTGCTGGATCTCCAGGGTCATCAGGTCTAACAGACTAAAATGTAAATAATCTCTAGTGATGTCACAAATGTTTAACCTACACTTGTAATTCAGATAGAATTTTAGAGCCCAACTCAAACTCCTGTCCTTTGACAAATGCCTCATTTGTCCATCAAAGGAGACCAACACACTTTAGGAGATTCTCAGGGGTCTCTGACAGCGGATACTCACTACAAGGCAGAATTTGTTCAAGAACCCAGGGCATGCAGGAGCATTTTCCCAAGCACCTCTGTGTTCAAGTCTGCAACTCCCCCTCTTTACCTGGAGCTCATAACACCAATTGACACGCTTGCCATTAAACTCCAATACAATTAAAAATCACCTAGCACAGCGGGGCTCAGGCCCCCTGGTGTGTTTCCTTCCTTCTGCTATGTTAAAAGGACACCATTCCCTGCACCAGCCCGAAGTGTTGCCCAGTCACAGTTCTAGCCTTCGGCAGCATGTTAGACACTTGATGAACATTCCCTCTCCTCCCTTCAGTGAAGCATAGGGCCACAGTACCGCTCCTGCATCTGCTCTCTCCTTCATCAACTCCTGTGAGGTTTCCACTTGAACTCCTTTCTTCAAAGACATTCTTCCATAATTTTACTCTTCTCTTTATTTGCTGGAAAGTGCTCTCTCACCAACCTAGAGTTGTTTGTCTACCCTATTCAGAGATATGCAATTGTTCATTATATTTTCTTCCTGTACTTTATAGTCAACGTGGCACTGGCTCAGCCCATGTTGTCTTTGTTTAATGTTCTCTGGCCAAGAAAGCTGTTTTCCACTCATCTTCATGGAAGACTTACATTCTTTGAAACACAGGTTGCAGGCCCAGTTGATATTCTCATAGCACCATGGTTAAGTGGGGCTCTGGCATCTGAGCACCGAGTATAACCCTCCCTGTGTCACACTTGCTGTGTGTGACCAACTACAGGCAAGATGCTTAACTTCCACTACCCTGAAACATGAAGAATAGTGGTACCTAAGGGTAGCTTGGTTAACTAAGAGAACTACTGTGCACTGCTCCCGGCATGCACAGTACGCTCAGTGAGTGTCAATGATTATTGTTTAGTATTATCTCCTCTTATTTTAATGGGTCCAGGGTATCTTATAACCCACATTTAAGCAGTTCTAGGGATATACACTTTATAAATCACTTTACATTCTTCTTATAAGAAATTACTGAGTAAATAAATTCATCTATATGATCCTATTCACTGGTGGTTTTAACTCTCTGTTTCCAAAAGCGGCCAACTCCTTGATTTCTTGCAAAAGCAAAAAAATACCTAGACTTTTTGGCTATTATCTTGCCAAAGTATGATTTCAAATGAACCTCAATTCCAGTCTCGGTATGGCTGATGTTAGATCTGATAGCGATCATTTCCATTGTTAAAATTCGGAATATTATTCAGGGTGACCAGAAAGGCCCAACTCATAGAGTTCTTATAGAAATTAAATGGGACAGGATGGAAAGGGCTTGGTCATGTCCACACTTGGTTTATTTTGCCTAAGATCTTTGTCCTCCCTTTGAAATAGATGTTGCCCTGACTGAAAGCGGTATGATCATTCCCTTGTGCCAGAAAGGATACTTTCCCTGTGGGAACCTCACCAAGTGCCTGCCCCGGGCTTTTCACTGCGATGGAGTGGACGATTGTGGAAATGGTGCTGATGAAAAGAACTGCGGTAAGTCCCCACCTCTGCTCCCCAGGACCCCACTGCACCAGCTCTACAAAGTTGTGAGTCAGAGGAAATAGCAAGGGTGATCTGGTACTTTACAGACAATCTCTGTAATGCAAGACTCTCCAATCTATTAGTGATCATAACAAATTTTCATATACAGGGCTTGTTTAAATCAGAAGTGTAGTATCAGTCCAATGTAATATTTCATAAACAATGAAATTATATTTTTAAATCTGCTTGGATATTCCTATTTTAGTTTTAAGGAGCTTCCTATGACTGCCTTGAATGGTGAATGATTTGGTTGAGATACAAGACTAGCCAAAGAAATGTGAATAAACTCACTTAAGAATTAATTGCACAGACATATATTAAGTGCCAACTATGTGCCAGAAATGTCCCCAAATTATTAGAACACAATAGTCTCAAGGGAGACAAGGCTCTTGACCTCATGGGATTCATACATACAATATGAACTAAAACACACAACTCTGTGTGTAAATAAGTTAGATACTCTCAAAGAGTGGTGGGTACGTAGAGAAAATAAAACAGTAAAATAAGATTGGAAATGCCTTGAAAGGAGAACACTTTTAGAATACAAGGAGAGAAAACCTTTTTAGGATGATGATATTTGAACTAAGAATTACATGAAAAAATTTAAAAACAGAAGCCATGATATGCTGGAGAATTTCAAGCAAAGGAAACAACAAAGGAAAAGGTCCTAAGGCTGAATGAATGAAAGATATGTTTGAAAAATTAAAAAACAATAATATAGCTTCAGTGAATACTGAAGATATAAATGGAAAGTTAAGAGGTAAGTAGAGGTCAACTTACATAAAGTCACAGAGGCCAAATTTGTGCCTCTGTTTTGAAACTGTGCATATTCTTTTTATGTGAAAGGAACCGATTTCAGAGAGGTTGAAATGTCTACCTAGTCACAGGTTAGACCCTAAGAGCCAGATCTTCTGCACAGGGAAGAATCCTGCATGTTTTCCACCACACAGGGCTTCCTGTCTTTGGCACTACCCAGCCAGAAACCCTAGTGGGGCAGCAACACGTAGGTATGCCAGGCTCCTGTCTGCAGTCTGCTCTGCTGGCCCTGCATTGGAAGGAACTTGCTCACATTCCTGTGTGTCTTTCCTGCTCATCCTTTAAGATCCTGTTCAAGTGTCCCTTCCTGCAAGAACACTTCGTGGCCACACCGACCCATCACCGGCCTAGGGTGGTGTCGCCTTCTACAGTTCCACCATGCAGACTGCCTCAGCTTTCCACTGAATTTGTTTTCCTAGATATAAACACCTTGAGATATTCTGCAAGAGCCCTGCATATCTGTTTTTGTCCCCATCAGAGCCCAGAGTAATAGAGTACACAGCAGGTGCTCAGTCTGTTTTCAGTTCTCTGGAGCTGTTTCTTTTTTGCTGCTTAGGAATCAAGGAGCATAAGTGTGTAGCTACTCCACAAGGATGTTCTGAGCCCAAATTAAATAATTCTGTGGAGGAGCTGATAACACAGTCATCATAGTAGAAGGCATTAAGGAGAAACAAAAATAAAGGCTTTAGAGATCAAAAGAGCTTGTAGGCAATTATTTAAATTTTTTGATCTGTGTTTACAATAGTACATTACAGTGCAAATCTTATCTTATTTCATAGCATGTGCCTAAGCACTGATGTTTCAAACTATAATGTTACTTAGATAGGTAGATAATTATATATATATGTAGTTTTATATAGTTTTAAAATATGAATCATATATAATTATATATGATTTTTCACAAAAAGGGAACATGGAAAACAAGCAGACCATATTAACATATGACAGAGTTGACATTAACATGTGACAAACTGGGGAATGTTATTGCTCTCAACAGGATTGAAACCTTTACATTACTTTGTTTTTGCTTCCTTAAAAGGTCATGTGGCTGGGGGCAGAGTATGTGCTTAGCATTGGATCTCCAGCCTTAAGACAAAACAAAATAAAACAAAACAGAAAGATGCCATAAATTATATCAGAACTCATTGCATCTATCAATCACATTTATATATTTTTGAAGCAGTATACATATGACAAAAATAAAATTCAGATTATAATTTCTTCTGAGATCCTCAAAATAAAGGTCAAACATTTAAAATATCAGTGATAAAACAGATGATTTTTTCAAAACATTTGTAATTATTTAAAACAATTACATATTTGCATTATATTTTATAATACATACATTTGAAATATTTGTAAGTTATTAAAAAATGAAAATGCCACCAATATTTCCTTAGCTTCTCCTCTTTACTATCTCCATATTTAAAATATCATCATCCTAAACAACTTTTTAAATTTCTTTTCATTATTAAACTTTTATACTTTTGTTTTGTAATATGATATATGATTTCTAGACTAACTGACACCTGTTAATCACCATTTCACAGGTGACACTAGTGGATGGGCGACCATATTTGGCACAGTGCATGGAAATGTTAATAATGTGACATTAACACAGGAGTGCTGTAAGTGGAATTGGTTCAAAGACAGTGTCAGCTTTTTGAAAAGCATGATTTGGTTTGTGGTGCATGGATTTATATGAGTGTAGTAGCCTGCTCTTACCTCTGGTTTCACTGTCCACATGGTTTATCTGCAATCAACCACAGTCTGAAAGTATTAAATGACAGACTGGGGATGGAGCTCAGTAGTAGAGCACTTGCTTAGCACATGCAAGCCCTGTGCTCAATCCCCAGCACCACTAAAGGAATGAATGGATGAATGAATGAATATTTCAAGGAGAGAAAGTGAGACCACATTCACATAACCTTTATTACAGCATATTATTGTAATTGTTTTATTGTTAGTTTTTGTCCTCTCTCACTGGCCTAATTTACAAATTAAGCTTTATCATAGGAATATATGTACAGAAAAAAAGGGATTGGTACCAGCTATGGTTTTAAGCATCTACTGGGGAGGGTCTTAGAATATATTCTCTGTGGATAAGGAGAAACTGCTATAGTATGATAAATTACCTTCAGAATTTCAATTTTAGTTCAGTTTGTTTCATTGGCCAATTGCTCTGTCTGCCTATGAGACTAAACACATACAAGAAAATGATAATCTCCATTCATGCTTCTATTGGTCTAAGTTGAAAATATATAGAAATATCGAACACTTGTGACCAACAGTGAGGTTCTTAGTCCATTTACTTCCTTCAGTCATCAACCCCTGCCTACTTCCTTAGACACTGAAAATATAGTACTGAACCACAAATACCTCACTACATAGGAATCTTTGCAGAAGCAGTGATTGTTCAGCATTTCACAAGGGAATGAGGAAGCTTAATAGAAGAAATGATGGCTCTGCCAGGGCTGGAGAAATGCTCCCAGAGAAGATGCCATTGGAGATGGACTTTCAGGTTCTTCAATGGAGAGAAAATAGTAGGCAACAGGATGAGCAGAGGAGCAAGATCAGCAAAACACAGGAGTAGAAGGTTCCAAACATGCTTCCCAAGACCTTGAATGCCCACTCTGAGATTCTGAGAGGGAGAGGAAGGATGAGGCAGGACCTGAGCTCACAAGGCTGGAGCCAGCCCCAATACAGCTTGAGCATACACTTTGGAGTTTGGCCTCTATTCTATGGATACAATTAGGTGTGTTTACAAAGTCATATAGGTGAATGTGCACTTACATACACACAGTAGTGTACATAAACTTGTGTTATGCATATGTATGCATGTATATAACATCGTACATTAACAGTAGACAGTCAGTCCTCTGAATCCACAGGTTCTACAAGTGTGGATTCAATCAACCGCTAATCAAAAATATTGGAAAAAATTACCAAACCTGTGCCATTTTTGCCATTGCTTCTTCAACAATACAGTACAGAAACCACTTATCTACTATTTACATGGTATTGTGCATTGTAAGTAATCAAGAGATTATTTAGAGTATAGACAGAATGTGTTTAGGTTCTATGCAAATACTATACCATTTTACTTAAGAGAGCGGAACACCTGCAGATTTTGATATCCTGGGAGGTCCTGGAATCAAACCCTCAGATACCAAGCAGTGACTACATCATGTACTTTTAACTCACTTATTATATATTTGCTTATATCCAAGTATAGAATGTATAAAAATTAAAAGCACAAGATTAAAATTATAATCTTTTCTTCCTGAAACAAAGAAATTATTCTGCATATATGAATTCTTTTGCTGTACATAGTGGACAGTCACCAAAGTGACGTGCTTCTGGGTTTGATATGGTTGGAGTTTTTGATTTGTTTATATTGTGTTTATTTGTTTGTTTTGTCAACAAGGAAGAACACATGTTTAGAAGTGAATGTGAGGAAAATTTTTCCATCAAAGTTGCAGAGAATTTACTTGAGCAATGTGTCTGGCTGGAATAATTGTACTGGAGAGATTTTGTTGACATTTTTGGTTGTTGGAGCGGGTGTGTGCTGTTGGCTGTGCTGCTGGTTCACAGAGTCTTGGGATGCTGCTGAGCATCTTACAATGCACACGACCGACTCCACGACAAAGAATGATGGAGGCCAAGATGCCCATCCATCATACTGATTGAGCAGAGGGATGATGGAGATACTGATGATTATGTTTATTGCAATGCTACAGAATCTGAAACCAAAAACTGAGAGGAATGAGGTAGGAAAAGATGCAAAAGGCCACAGAAAAACCCACAAAATTGGAGGGATAACTGGCCTGCAAGAAAAGGAGGATGAAGAATTATGCCCATATTTCTGGTTTTTAGGCAATGTGCCCAGCTTGACCATATGAAAATTCCTTTATTGGCAAACAGAAGTTTCCAACCACAGGTTTTCAATCTAAATGTATATCCATAATACTCTAAACATCAAGAAGAATTGAAGTAAGCATATTAATATTATCTTTAGGAACTAGAGCTAATTATCATGTACCTATAGACAACATAAAAATGTGTTTCCAAGTCTTTATAGACTAGAAGCATCTTTTGTGCTACCAAGGTTCTCAATAACAAATGTGCTGTCCTTACCACTAAAATTCTTTTTTAAAATAACATTTGGCTTAAAGTGATCCAAAAGAAATAGGGCAACTGATAAGAACTTATAATTATACTTACATAAATGCTATAAATTTGAAAATAACTGTCACTTTTTTAACTGCATCAAATCAAATATCCATAAGGTCAGTGGAAAAATCAGAATCCAGAAATACTCTTTCTCCTAACACATGCAAGCAAATACATGAACACACATACACACACACACACACACACACACACACACACACACATATACACAATGATGGTCCTTGTTCTTTTTCTCCATAGATTTCCCACTCCTCTATATGCCATTATCTTAGTAATCCTGTAAGTTCCTTCAAAGTAAATTCTGAACACTTCTTTCCCTCTGAAAGCTTCAGATACACAGATCTTTGATTTTTTTCAACTTGATCTCTTCTCTATGACTTTTACTTGCCACTTTTAACTTCAAAGTAATGCAAACCAAAGAACCAAACAAGGAAACTATGTCTAATAAGATTGATTTAATAAAGTTCAACAGTGGCTGCTACAGAATCTATTTCTAACTCTTCTTACACTTCTAAGTTTGAAAGATGAAAAAATCAAATAAAAGCTAAGGATAGAGCTCAGCAGTGTAAGTGCCTGCTTGGCAAGGGAAGGTCCTGAAGTCAATTCCTGGTACAAAAAAAACAAATTAAATTTTAATAAAAAAGCATTTAATTCTACTTACTTTGTGCTATTGAATTGAAATGACCCAATAATTGCCATTAAGATTTATTCGGTCCTATTGTTTTTTATTGAAGAAAACTTGATCTTGCTTTCCCATATAATTTTATCCTGCTTAAATGTGTCTGTGGTTTCTTTTTTCTCGCCTGTTAATGCCTCTGATATGACCATTGGAAGCTAGAACTAAGATGATCACATTAGTCTGTGGTTAATTGGGAAAGAATTCTTATTTGCTTTTTCTGTGGGCTAAATAACACCAATGAACAGATGTACATACTATTCCTCTGATGAAAAGAAGACAATATTAGTTATTATTGTCATAATTAAGGAAATGTATTTTTTCTAATAAAATTTTCCTTTTTTGTTCTCAGTTCTAAACCATTATCCAGAACATTGTGATTGCAGAGAAACTGAATTGGAATGTGTGAACGCTGGTCTAAAGTCTGTGCCTACAATTTCCTCCAACGTGACACTGTTGTGAGTAGATTATCTGCGAATAACATTTTCCCTGGAATCACATGAAAACTAAAGAAAATCCCACAGTGCTTCTATGGACTCACACTAGCAAAATAATTGAAATTCCATTTAAAACCAGACACCGGATAGTTCTGTATGCTTCTCCAGGAAAACAAAAATGTATTCAAATACCATACATTAGATTAGCCGTGTTAATATTCAGCTCGCAAATATCTGTGATCTGAAACTCTCATTTTCAGTTATTTTATAATTTGTGTATTGTTACTTATGTGCTTGTACAGAATGTTCAAAAGGAAACACACTAACTTACTCCATCTCATTTTTAATAATTGATTCAAGACTACAAAGGATGAGTGAGCCATGCAGCTGGCTGGGTCAGGTTGTACAAAGCATCTACATTTCTCCTAAAAGTTTTCAGCGCCTCAATAATTTGTAATCCTGTCATCCTATAGGAGTTGGTTAGGAACTTTGGTTGTTTTGGTTTTGTTTGCTTTTTTATAACTTATCTAGAAAATGAAAGAAAAAGAGAAACTTCCAGTCTAGTACACACTAAATTGATCAAGTGTTTGCAAGCTGTAGTTGTGAGATAATGGTAGACCACAAACCTAATTGTGAAACCATAAGATTATAAAAGAGCTGAAAATTATGTTTTCTAGTGACCTTGTTGCCATAGTAATATATTAATACAACTATTGCACACACGTTTGTGGTGATACTGGTGTAAACAATCCTTCTTTTGGCCAGTCATACAAAAGTATAACAAACACATGATACTTGATTGGGGCAATAAATGACCACATTACTAATTTAAATATTTGCTGTACTATCCATACTTTTAATCATCAATTTTGAGTGTCCTCATTCTTCTTATAAAAAATTACCATATATTAGGTGTTACATCTAGTATATCTCGTTTCTATAAGTACACGCTGTGATGATCATACAACCGACAAAATTTTCTGATAGTGCATTTCTCAGAACACAGCCTATCAGCATGGCATGACCATACCTGCACTTCTCTTTAGGAACTTTTAATTCTTCTCTGCAAGTTTACAGTACCATCGTGTTCAAAAATGTGTTAATTATCACAGAACATTCTTTTCCTAAGCATTCAGCTTTTAGGAAAATCCAGTTAGTCATTAAAAATCCATAATGAGGTCTGTTTTCCATGTTATTTTAGGTCTCTTAAGAAAAACAAAATTCACAGTCTTCCAGATAAAGTGTTCATCAAATACACAGAACTTAAAAAGATGTAAGTAGCTATTAATAATGTATTTATGGGAAAACTCTTGTGATGTGTTAGAATGTTTTCGATCTAAAATTAAAACAGAAAGTTTTATCTGCATCAGTAAATTTATGTTTTTTAAAGCATTTAAACCATTTAAAAATATGTTATCTTTCCATTTCATAATTTGAAGTAGCTGAACCGATTTTATTTAAACTTTTTCAGAGAGTAAATGTGGGAGTGAGATAAAAATATCTCAATAGAAAAATACATGGTTCCATGTTTTTCCTTAAGTTTTTTAGTTTTTGCAGATTCAGAGGCACTCTATGTAATTTGTAATTTAGAAAGCTTAGAAAAGAATAACCGGATCACTTAAAACACATAATGATAAGACACAGACTGCCTCCCAACGTAATCAGTACAAAACCACAGTAATAGCTCAGTCAGGCTTATCAGCACTTCTGAAGAAAGAAAAAGTAGTTAAGTAGTACATTAGCAGCAAATAAGAAGTGATATTTCAGCACCATTCAAGGAAGATAACCCTGATCTGGGAAATATAATCTGTAGAGATGGGCTCTATTAGACAGCAGGCATGAAATCAATCTCCACCATAATTTTCCTGAGCTCTTTTAATACTATCCATATGCTCTTGCTTCGGTTTTCCTTGCCAAGCAACTTTATGACGACCCAGTTAACTTACCTTCCTTATAATGACATATTTGAAAAGTTGCATAAGATACAGAATGACAATATTGCTGTCAGTGGAGTGAGATATCTCCTATTCATGTTAGCAAATTGAAACTGTACAGATTCAGTGTATACAGTACCCAGTGAGGCTCCATCTGCCATGAGTACCATTAGTTTAGACAACAGTACCAGCAAAACAATGACACACGTATGTTGGAAGGCCCTTCCCATTATCACCGTCTTATGATTTTATCCATCAGCATACAGCATAAAAGTTTCCAGAACTGTAAAATTTGTTTAAAATCCAGGCACAAAAGTGATCTTAGTCTTATTGGTTACTCTGCAAACATACGTGGGTGGAAAACATCACTGTGTTTATCAGCTTTTCATCACTCTGACAAGTAGCTGAGAAAATCAATTGAGCCTCAACTTAAATTTATCAAGTTAAGCTTGATAAGTTTGACCCATTATTGAGATTAGTGCCCTTCTAATTCAATCTCTAATCTCCATCTCTGCACACTGTTGTATCAGGGATTAAGCCATCGATACTGTTTATGAGTCTTTGGGAGACACATATTTAAACTGTATTCCACCAATATTCTATATTCCGCATTCCATATTCATTAACTCCCTCACACAAGAAAGGAAGTCACTGAAGGAACTCTACTGGATAGGATCTTGGGTGAGCATCAGTAATCTTACCAGCTTTGATTATTGCCTCTGTGAGCCCTAGCTGCTCTCAGTGCCTCCTGCTCCACCTGAGAGCGAGTGGTAAGCTGTCCTTGTCCCACTGGAGTGGTTACATATTAGCACTGGGCTTCCAGACTCTTCTAGAGAAGAAATCCTAAGCACAGTGACTCTAGTTTTCCTGGAAATTCTTAAAATCATAGCATGTTCATTCTTTGAATCAATATTGTTCTTGTACTTCTAGAATAATACTAAAGGGAGAAAAAAGCCAAATAGCAGTAGCATAAAGGATTCCTGTTTTAGAGTGGCTGCTTAAATTCTATGTTCACTTTCCATCACTGCAACAAATACCCGAAATAATAAGGTCTTAAAAGTTTACTTTGGTTCATGGTTCTTGAGCCTCAGTTGCTTTGGGCTTTTGATGAGGGTGGTGCATAGTGGCAAGCTGTACAGGGAGCAGCAAAGGGCCTCACCCCTGCCCAAGAACAAAGCAGAATGAGGCAAAGGATGAAACGGGGTCCTGCCACCCCCTTCAAGGGCACAACTCCCCACACCCCTGAGTGACCTGAAGACCTCCCACTGTGCCCTGCCTCTCCAAAAGTTTCCACCAGTGCCTCGTAGAGTCGAGCTGAGGGCCAAGCCCTAACACTTGGGATTTGAGGGATATTTAGGATCCAGACTATAGCAAAATGTGTCATCTAGTACCATAGAAGTGGTACACATTTCTAATTAGATCTTATACACATGGTAATTAAAGTCTGCAATGGTTAGCTCACTCATCTAAGACCTACAATCAGATTGTGGAAGGGTCAGAATTAGAGCCCAGTTCATCTCATGTTCAAGGAACTGTGTTTGGTTTTGTTGTTTTTGTTTGTTTTGTTTGGGGGGTTTATTTTGGTTTTTGTTGTTTTCTGTTTTTTGTTTTCTGTTGTATAGGATATTGAACCCAGGACCTTCTCCCTGAGCTACCTCCTGTCCCTTTTCTTATTTTTATTTTTATAAGATCTACCTAAATCACTAAATTGCCAAGGCTGGGTTCAAACTTGTGATCCTCATGCCTCAGCCTCCAGCAATGCTCATTTTATCAAAATTGTAAACCAGGTGGGGTAACACAGGCCTTATAACTCAAGCATTCTGGGACTGCACTACAAGCAAATGTTTAATTCTGCTTTGTCCAAGAAAATATCACTACCACACCCCAACCTGAGTATCACCCACCAGGGTCTCTCTCCATGCAAGCTATTGTTTGATGCTTTCAAGGCAACTTGATTCTCTCACAGAAAAAAGATTACGAGACACACATCTATACCACTAATTTAGTATCTGTTATTTACAAAAATGTAGCACCAAGAATAAATCACAGTCCTTTACATTTAAATAATCACTTTTTAAAGTTGACAAAGACTATCAGTATTTGGAATTTTTGTCTGGGCTTTGACTTTCAAAGTCAGAGGGATAGAACAGAAATGAGGAGCCCACTCTGGCAGAAGAGAGGCTGTTTGCCCAAAGTTAACAGCTGACTGGAACCTTGGGAAGGTTGGCCACGTGGTCCAGTGTCGATATTGTTACCACCAACAAAACCACCCAGTAGCTAAACTTTGATTTGAAAGTAACTCAAATTCTTTACAAGCATGACTCAAACATCCTGAAGCAGCCTGGGGTCCTTAAGTGGCCTTTTCTCCACATCCCCTTCTCCTCACTTTTCAACTCATCCTTCCTCATTCTCCCAGAAAAATTTATTCAAGTCCTACTCCCACTCTATATCTTCTTATCCTACCATTATTCCCAATTTTTCCTAATTCTGCTCACAGTAGCCCAAATAACCAACATCGGAAAAGCCAAACAATTCCCAGGAAGTAGAAAAAGATCAACAAGAGCAGACAGCTCTCTTCCTAGCAGATAGCAAGAGAGCAGGAACTTATAATACCTCATGTTCATTCATTCTTTCAAGAAATATTTATGGACATGCAAAAGTGTGAGGCACCAAGGAAATGGCAGTAAACAATTGGTGTGAAAAATCCTCTGCTTGTAAAGGTTGAATTCTAAAAGAGAAAGGAAGTCAATAAACAAAAACATAACTTTCATGTGTGGGGCTGTGGGTATTGAGCTGTGGTAGATTTGGGAGCATATACAAGACTCAGGTTCAATCTCCAGCAGTGCAAATTTTTTAAAAGTATGTAGATGTTTAGATGGTGATTAGGGTGGTGGAGAAAAGTGAACTAGGAGGAGGATTAGAAAGTATTGGACAAATGAAATTTCAAACACTATGCTAATAAATTTTGTCCACATTACTAATGCCCAAGTTATCTCTAAAGTTTCCCATCATTCCTACGTTTATTCCCATGAAACTGTTTAAAAACATTTAATCAGGGTCCTACCTAACTCTATAGTATTTAAAGCTAGTTGCCACTCCCACACACTCCCTATCACAAATTTCTTCTCCAGAAATTCTTTGTTCCTTCCAATTCTTTCCCAGAGAACATGGTTTCAAATGTGCTCATCCTTCTGCCCACACTAGTCTGTATAATCTTCCCATCTTTTCCTTTATGTGTGATATCTGCAGTAAACATAATATCACCGTCGTGACATGACTGGGAAAGCAGGTCAGATCTAGCCTCTCTTTCCTTCTGAACTCTATGGCCTAAGGTCATTGCTCTTCGGTGAGTACTGACACCTTCATTTATAGCAATCTTGCCTCTACAATTCTTATTCCCACATCATTTGTATCACTGCTAAATGATGTACTCATTCCTGTGCTTGCATACCTAGCCCTTGAGAAGTACCTGTGGATCCTTAAATGTATTCCCAATCAATTCCCTGTTAGGTTCAGTATTTGTTACTAAGTGGTAAAGATCTTTCTGAATAATCCAATATATTCACTACTCCCCCTAGAGTTCTCCAATCTATAAACAAGATGAGTCATATTTACCCAAGTCATGAAATAAAACATTAAAGAAGGCAACAGCACCAAATTGTTTTTCCATGTTCCTTCATCATGTGAGATACGAATTATCTGACTGTCTTGTCCTTTAAAAAGTCATAAACCATTTGATGACTAGACAGAAACAAGAGGTGGTTGAGCACGTGCTAGGGAGGTCATTGAAACAGCGCTGCAGGGATCAGACCCTTTGTCTGGCCATCTTTCAGAAAAATTGAAGTTAATCAATATGCACTGTTTCCTGCGAACCACCCTGTTCACTTTCTCTTTGAGATGTTCCCAAGGCAGCATTGTCAAGCCTGCTCTACAAGCTCAGCATACTCATATGGAGCCTGCTTCTTCCCTTTTTGGAAAATCAGTACAATATTAATCATCTTTAAAGTCCCAGCTACTCCGATTCTCTCCAGATTCCTCAGTAACTGATGATGAGTTGATAGTCCCATTTATTAGTGTTTCTTAATGTCTTGGATAAACTGCAAGCCAGAGAGATTTATTTCATTTTGATCAACACATTAAACTTTCACTGTCCCTGCCTTATATCCTTTCAGCTCACTTCAATCCCAAAACTATCTTCTTTGAGAAGACAGGAAGAAAGGTGAAATTAGGAAATAAGCATTTGTTTACCTACATTATTATGCAAAACTTTTAGGGATCAAGTGCCCAAAATGATCCCCAAGCCCCTTATTTATTGCAAAACACCATCACTGCAATTAAACCTAAATCCTGAGGTTTTAGTTTAGAAAAATCAACTCTAACATTTTTTTGTCTTGAAAGAAAAGACACAATAACATGCATGCTATAGCTGCCCACCACTGTGGCCCTTACTATCTTGCAATATTGTGAAATAAATCCAAGAGGCAAACCTGGACTTCTCTTTAACATGTTCTCGCTTTAACAGACAGTATAATTAGAAGTACATGTTTATTGCCAACTATTTCAGTACTAGGGATTGAACCCAGAGCCTTAACACTCACCTACATTCCCAACCCTTTGTTAATGTTTATTTTGAGACAGAGTCACCCTAAGTCACTAAAGTACCCAGGTTGAGCTCAAAATTTTGATCCTCCTGCCTCAGCTTCCTAGATCATGAGATTACATTAGTGTACCTCCACACCCCACTGCTCATAGTATCCTTGGCTTTCTGATTTTTTAATATGATGTGGGTCATATTTGTGAAACTCTTATATGTTTGTGACTTTGCATAATTGTGACAAACTACCTAAGAGGAAACAATTTAAAGGAGGAAAGATATATTTTGGCTCACGGCTTTATTATTTCTGGGTGTATGGTAAGAACATCATGGTGGGAAGCACATGGTGAAGTAAAGCTGTTCTGCTCATGAAAGACAGGAAGAACAGGAAAAGAGAGAGACAGTGATGGAGAGATAGAGACCAGAGGTCAGATAGTCTTCAAGAGCATACCCACAAGGATGTACTTCCTCCAACAAGGCCCCACCTCCAAAGTTTCCACCACTTCCCAATAACTCATTAAATTATGAATCTATCACTAGATAAATCCACTCATGATATTAGAGTCCTCACGACTCACAAAGCTCTGCACACCTTTCCAGTAGTGATTAGTCCTTCGATACATGAGCCTTTAGGGGGCATTTCAGATCTAAGCTATAACACTTTGCTCTCATCTTCGAGGAGCTGCACTTTGATCAGGGCCCCATACCTGCTCTCTGAGCTGGATGTCTTCCGGATTCTGCCATCACACATGCACCTGTGCCTCACCTCCTCTGGAGCACATGCAATAGCATATGCAGGATGGATCTAGTGAGGATCAGTGAGCATTGTCCATGAATGCTGAGTGGATTCAACATGCAGGACTCTTCCTTATGGGGAGAGCACAGAAACAAACAGAAACACTCAAAGAACATTGGGAATGCACAAAAGATTTCCCACTGAAGATGATACAGCATAGTTTGAAGAGGTTGTTGCATTAGACTTGTAGGGACTTTGAATGCCAGCAGTAGAATCTGGATGTCGTTTGGTTTGAACAGAGAAAGATATGCAAAAAGTTTGTATTTTAAACTGCACAGTGCTACTAAATTAATCTGCACTTTTAAATTGTTTAGGATTTACCCTAAGAGATCACAAAATTTAATGGCAAGTGAGAATTCAGGCTCAAATGCTGTAAATCTTCACAGTGGATTGAGGTTGAGTTTCCCAATGAGGCACTGGGAAAAATTAATTCCTAGATCAAAATTTAGTTTCAATTGCAAAATGAATAGTTATTGCTCATACTATTTATCTGTTTTCTTTTTTTTTTTTAATTTTATTTAAGAGGAAAAAGAGAAAAACACAAAACAAAACAAAGCGGTGTAAGGGTACACGTAATACAGAACTACAAAAAAAAAAAAAAACATAATAGTAAGGAATCACCTGCTAATAGATTACATATTATCATCTTGGAAATAGTTGCTCAAATCACAGTATCAAAGAATACAAAGTGGACATTCAAACAGAGAGACTGCAAACAGCTGTGTTCAATGATCCAAAAACATTAATATAGTCAGCTATTTAACACCCCTAAACACACTTGCTGTTATATCCGTTAGAGCTCTTTTTTTTCCCCTCTCTTTTTTACAACAAAATTTACACTTTTTGGATTTTATTACTCCTTAGTTCTTATTACTTTTTTGGGGGGAGAGAATAAAGTCAAATATGGAAAACAAAGCTGTCAGTCAAAACCAAGGATAGACATAGCACATGATGTAGAACAGAGTACAAGGTTATCAACAATGGTTATCAAAGTTGTCTCTTGTTTCCTTAAAAAGAATAGTCTATCTCATTATATATTATAAAGTTGGACAAAACAGTAGGGAACAAGACCAATAAAACTTAGGCATTGTAAACATTACAGGACTTCCAAAGGAGACAACAGTCAAACCAGAATGGGCAACTTAGTGAATCTTATTGCCTTCATTTGCATAATCTTTCAAGATGTCAGGACTTTCTAAAGATGAAAGGGAACAGCAGTTTCAGTTGACCTTTCAGAGAAATAAAATACAATTTATGTTATTGACTATAATATCTTATCACCGCTACCATGGAAACCAGCAGCAGTCCTACCACTCATTGTAACAGGAGCCCTCATATATATAAATTAACAATTCCTTATTAAACTGGTCCCTGTTAAATGCAGTCATTGGCAACACAATATAACTTAAGGTATCTGCATGGCTCTGGAGTACAAAACAACACGTTTTAAAATACCCTATGAACACGCATGTTATTAAAGCACTTATTTGCCTTAGTTTTATGTACATAAATTCCTGATGTTTTTCTGAGAAAGTCATGAGAGCTGAAACAGCAGGAATTCATGGACCAGTAAGCTATTCTTAGAAAACACATTCAGTGACGAGTATATTAAATGAGCTCATAGCTCAACCCCAAAGGAATAGAGGGTACCATTTGCCAATTTTTCCTGTTTCAACATTTCCTTCATCTCTCTAAGTTACTGTTTTGCAAAGAGGAAAGTAGACACTGATGTCATAGCTTAAATTTGGTAGCCTACATTTGAGACCTGAGACTTGAGGTTTTAAGTCTTTTTTCAAATCATTCAATGGATAAATAGAAGACAGGAGGCTCTTTATTCTCAAGGAACTTGACTCTTGAATGATGTCAGTGAATCGAGATAATTTATACACATCAGATGAATCATTCCAATTGTTGGTTTTACTCTCTCTTTCCTTTGGCTTCTAAGGCAAAAGTATAAGGTCAAATTCACAACTGCACCTATCTCTTATATAGGAAAAATATTCACTGCACTTTTGAATTAATCATCTTAAATAAAATGTGAACATCACTAGTTCAGTAGTGAATTTTATATTTAAGAGAAACTTCAATATACCTTTAGTGGAATATTATATTCTTTTTCAGTTTTCACTGGCTGTTATAACCTAATTCATGATATTAACTTTCACTGTATCAGTCCCAGGGCTCTGAAAATGCTAAAACAGATATTGATCTGTGTGGGTCCATCCTATTTATAGCATAACCTTAAACCAAAAGCAGAACTTATGCTGCACTGGGAAGCAACTTCCCAGAGATTTGGTGGGGCAAACAGTGAGGTCACATTGAGTGTCAAATTTATTTTGCAGGATTAAAACTGATAGTGTGTGTATCATTATAGATATAGTTGTGTGTGTGTTCTGTAGTATCAGCCTCTTCCACATGGTGGTGCACAAGGAAAATGACCATTTTCATGTAGCAGCTGGACTAAAAGAATGAGTCTGTTGATAACTGGAAACCAGTCTTGGTTTTGTGTGACTATTTTGAGGCCTAAGGAAGTCAATATTTTAGTACTTTTTTTTTGGTACCGGGGATCAAACTCACAACCTTGCACTGGCCAAGCAGGCACTTGTGCCACTGAGCTAAACCCTCAGCCCTATCTTAGTACTTGTGTAACACATTCATGACCCAGAGGCAAAAGCTGGAAAGCATTGTTAGGGAATAACTGTGTTGTAACAAAATGTGAAGTATAGCTAGGTGCCAAATAAGCATATGTTCTGCCAATAGTTTTGCTTTAAAGGATCCTAACAATTAAAACAGTGTTATGTAATATTTTAGGGATCAGTTTAAATCAAAGTAAGACAAATGGAAGCCACACAAAAGACTATGTAGTGATTAGTTACTATAGTTAGTATCACGATTTCCAGCCTCTGAAAGCTTTTAGAAAATATGGATTCAGGAATAACCTCCAATTGTATAACGAGGGCAGGAAATGGAAATTATTTACTTGGATACTTCCAGCAGTGCTATTATTGAACCCAATCTGTATTGTTAAGTTGCCTCAGGGTAAAGTAGATCAGGACTCTGCACGCTGAATGACATACTGGACCCAGCTCAACTGTTGAGAGGACTCCAAGCACCTCACTAACTCATTTTGTGCTTGGTACCTGACATCTTGAATCAGAAAAGAATAACCATCCCACTTTGTTCATAGAAATAGAAGGAAGAGAAAGGAACAGATAAAGGTCAACTCTGCTGCTAAAATAGCAAAGCTCAGCAGGGGTGGGCTGGCCGGGTTCCCACAGCCTGCAGTTCCCAGTCAGAACAAGGGTGCTGCGTGATTCCAGCTTTCAGATCCACCCCAAACACATCACCACAGAGCTCAGTACTACAAAGCAGAGGTGCTTGATCTCCCCACACAGGTGCTATTGGAGTGACCCCCTTTGGCTTGCTTCTTAGATGTCTCTCACTGGCATCACATCTACACCCAAACAAGTGACCAGGGCTTGCAGAATCCCACAAATGGTCTTCAAATGGAGAAAGTGAGCCACATTCAAAAACCAAACAAAGTTGATAAACTACAGTCACTTTGCTCTTTTATTCCTTTCAGATTTCTTCAGCATAATTGCATTAGACACATATCCAGGAAAGCATTTTTTGGATTATACAATCTGCAAATACTGTGAGTAATTTCTCTGGGATTATAATATGGGTATGAATTTAAGAAAAGCCTGAAGGATTCTTTTCAAGGCTTGACTTGGTTATAGAGAGATAGGAGGGATGGAATATCTCACAGTACTTATATTAATTATGCAGAGTCCAGCTTCTCCCAGAAGATACATCTATCAGCTTCACATCACTTTCTCTGTCTTGAGCAATTTCCACAATAGTTTAGCATTTTTTTTCTAATTTTTCTAACTTACTATATACTTTTTAAAAATATCAGATTATTAACGATGGGACCAAAAAAGAACAAAGGCAAAAAGTGCCTTACACAATTAGTTACTATCCCCCTGATATGCTATCCCAAAGCATTGTTTCTGGCCATTTCCCTTGCCTCAGCTATGGTTTTGCACACACTGAGTATGTTGCTATCGGTAACTCCTAGTAAGTCCTCAATGCTTCCCCTCTGCACAGCCAGCAGAAAGCTCTCAGAAGCAGAAGTCCCTACTTCCTAATCATCATCAGTGGGCTATCGTATGATTACAGGGAACTAAAATAGAGTATTAAGTTTGCCTAATTAACTCACCCGTGCTATTTGTAGATATCTCAACCACAACAGCATTACAACTCTCAGACCTGGAATATTCAAAGACTTACATCAGCTAACTTGGCTGTAAGTATGCTAGTATTCACTTCCCCCATAAACATTCATAGACTTCATGTTCAATGTATCAGTTCCTCTTCGCATTGCTGAGACAAAAGAACCAACTCTCAAAATTAAGGAAGGAAAGGTTTGTTTAGCTCACTGTATGTAGAGGTTTCAGGCTGGCTCCAAGGAAAGACGGCTTGGCAGAGGAGAACACTTCATGACAGGCAGTCAGTAGTAAAGAAACAAGGGACCTTAACAGCATCTTTCTGCCCCTTTTGTATTGAATCTAAGCTGCTGGGATTAGGGCAATGCCAAACCAATCAGCAGACTGATTTAGTAGTGACACTAACTTAATCCCAGCATCTCACATTCTAGATCCAGCCACCTCTGAAAAAGCCCATCTATGAGCACATGAGGCTTTAGGGAGGACATCTAGACACAAACCATGACATCCAGAGAGCTTTTACTTTGGGATGTATCCTGTTTATTATATTTATGTTTCCAGTTTTCATAAACTGAAGCACTGTACCCAAACAAATTAGACAGTGGCATGTCAAGTATTAGCTATTTGAAAAGGGAGCTGATCACGCTTTTTCAGGGGGCCTTCTGCACCCAGTGTTAGGGACACAAAGCAACTGGCCATTCACCCAGGGTTTGCCAAGAACAAAATCCCTCAATTTCAATGGTATTGTGGATATTTTGACCTATATAATCCTTTGTTCAGACGAGGCTGAGAGAATAGCATGCCCTGTGCATTTTTGGGTATTTAGTATCATTTTTGCCCTCTACTAATTAGAAACTAGTAATATATACCTTTCCTGAAGCGTCGTGATAAAACAATGTCTCTGGGCATTGCCAGTGTCCCCTGGGAGGAAAAATTGCCCTTCATTGGAAGCCACTCATCTAAAAAAATAATTAAATTAAAGATGTGTTCTGATTCCCAGAGCAGCCAGAGAAAAGTCAGAAAATATGATAACTCGTGGCACCTCACCACTTTCCAGGTTGGGTGAGCCACAGCTCCATCTCCAAGAGTCTCAAATTGTCAACTGTGCTTTCCTGAAATAAACAAAGGGCAATAGAAAGCTATTTGATTTGCTCATTGCCTGCAGGTTAGCCTGGGCCAGTGGGAAAAAGTAGGGCTTTGGCTTTAGACAGATCCTGTGTGTGCCTGGCCCCATGTGTAATCTCCAGGACAACTTTTATAATCACATTCCTCTTTTTTCTTATCTGTAAACTGTAGCTGTACTTCCTTAAAAGAGGGATGGTATGAGAATTAAATCCCCCAGCATACAGTGGCACACTCAGAGCTCCTGGCAGGCAGGAGGTACTCGGTCTGGCTCCCTCCTCCCAATCCCACCTCACAGATGTCTGAGAATAACTGGGAATGGGACCTGGCTTCAAGGCAACCTGGGAGAAGGAAGCCTATTTTGCTAGAGTCTAATTTCATCTACAACGGTATCTTAATGGTTTAAAATGCTGATCTGAATATACAAATGTTTATTCTTTCACCTCCAAAGCTCCTTATGAGTGATTTCACATCCATTCATTCATTTGTACAAAGCTCACTAAATGTATCATTTAAACATCTTGAGGCTGAGGATCCATTTACTGTTTCCTAAGAGTTTAATTTGCAGTCCTTCTTCAGTCTGACAACCAGTAGGTCAAAGCATTTATGGATCCTATATTCAGCCCCCAAGCACAGCTTAGCTAGACCTGGGCATCCCAAGATGAAAGATACACCTAAGTCTTTAAGTCTAGCAGGAGGTGATCAAGGAGAGAGGAAGAAAACTATCTGAATTCTCCTCCCTCCTCCTCCTTCTCGTCCTTCTCCTCTTCCTCCTCTTACCCTCTCCTGCTTCACCCCCTTTACCATCACCACCACCACCAATCAGTCAAGAACCACCTGATACAAGTTGCAGAAATTTGGAGGAAAGCAATGATCTCACCCCCAGGGGAAGCAAAAACTTTCAGGGAGGGGAAGCCTGGCCACATAAGGAAAGACCCTGGTCAGGTGTTAGAGGAGACGGGACAGGCTTGGGCCTTTCATTTTTTTCCTGGTGCTATTTCAAAAGCATCTCTAACACTGGAAATGTTTCTGATGTGTTTTGTCAGAATTCTAGATGACAATCCAATAACCAGGATTTCACAGCAATTGTTTACTGGATTAAATTCTTTGTTTTTCCTGTAAGTATTCATCTCCCTTCAATACATCTGTCTACGAGTTGCAGTGACATCTAACCCTAGCATGCAGGAAAAGCTTCAAAAATATATCAAACCCACTAAAATCTTTATTAGTCCTTCCCTGTATTTCTAGCAACAGTTTCTATTGCTATTTCCTGGCCGTGGCTCAAAGGGAGCAGCTGTCCAGATAATAATGTATGTTTTAAGCCTAGAAGTTGATTTTTTAACCCCTTTAAATTACTGAAGTCCTAAGACATGTTTTTATTTGCAGCGGTTAGCCAAAACTCATTTTTATATTCTATTCATTTTTATATCTTAACTACATTTAAATCTCCCAGGAGCTTAGCTCCAGCTCCATTTTTTAAAATTTTATTTAAAAAAAAAAAAAAAAGCAAAACAAAACAGTAAAAGGGTACTGAATACAGAATTTCAAAAAAAATAAACAGTGAGAAATCACTAGTTAATAGATTACATATTGTCATCTTAGAAATAGTTGTTCAAGTTACAAAATTAAAGCATACAAAGAGAACATTCAAACAGTGAGACTGCAAACAGTTGTGTTCAATGATCCAACAAAAACTTAGTAATATGGTCATCTATCTTAACACACCTAAACATACTTGCAGTTGTATCCTTTAGAGCACTTTCTTTTCCTCTCTTTTTTACAATAATATTTACACATTTTGGGTTTTATTACTCCCACAGTTCTTATTACTTTTTTTTCCAGCTGCATTTTTAACAGTGGAGACTGCTTTTGGCCATCAGCAGTCATTGAAAATTCCAAAATCTTTGTCCTACAAACAGAGCTGTTCTCATAATTACATTTTCACGGTTTATTAATATACTAGAATGATTTATCAGCAGGAGATTATTATGTTCCTTTACAGCTGATTATACAGCATCATTATTTTTTCATTTGTCAAAAGGGACCACAATATCATAAATTAACCGTGCAGCTTAGCATGCTCATGGGTTGTTTTCTTTCCCCAAATTCCCCCGTCTGTCACTTCTTAGATTTAATGCGGTTTCCAATATAGCCCTTTAATGTTATAAATGATTAATGTTTCCCATAAAAAGAACTTTGGGTGTATGGCACTGGAAATAATTGCAAACTTAAAATGGACAAGAAAAATTATCGTGAACTTCAAAATTATTACTTGATATATACTTTTTGTTTTATCTCCTAAAGTTAAACTGTCTAGGGTTTATTCCTAGAATGTATATCATGTTATGCATTTATAGTTTCTTTGACATCTGCTCCCTAGCTCTTGCCTTACACATATTTAAATGCCATTTTGAAAATATAATTATGTATCTATATATACTTCATTTACCATACTAATTTTCTAAGCTGTAATATTGCAAGCTTCTCACTTGTAATACAGTAAAAATATTATTTCCAGAGTAACATATTATTTTGCTTCTAATTAATATTTTCTCTTACAAAGGTCTATGGTTAATAACTACTTAGAGGTCCTCCCCCAGCAGATTTGTGCCCACATGCCTCAACTCAGCTGGATGTGAGTACTCATTTAGGATCTAATTTGGTTTTTGCACAGATTAAGGAATCTAACCATGAAGTTCATTGACAATTACCTTGAAAGTCAATCACTGATTTCTTTTCAAAACCAAAACCTAGCCAGGTTACTTTCCAGCTTAAAAGTCCTCAGAGGAGCCCCAAGGGGAGAGGGTAACGTTCCACCTTCACCCTGAGCACCCAAAGCCTCTCATTTTCCATCCATCATCCGGGTAATCTCTTTTCCTGTCCCTCCCCTTCGTGGCTCTTCTTCCAGATGTACCAAAGTACTCTCCTACAGTCCACCCCGTCAGCACGTACTGATCTTTGAACTTGAAAAGTCTTGCTCCCTTATTCACTGGACTAACTCCAACACTTCCTTCCAAAATCAACTAAAACTTTACCTCCAAGGAACTGGCCCTGGCACTAACCAGTCTCGGTGGCTACTTCTGTATTTCCACTCTATCCCCTACAAAACTCCACCATGACACCATTTTCTGTACCTTCCACCACCTTTCTCAGGACACCTGTCAAAAGTTTGGGTATTTATTTGTCCCCTACTTATGTCATCTATACATTGTTTGGTTACAGAAGCCAATAGTATGATTTCAATAACCCCAGTATTTGGACAATGACATAGTAAGAGCTTAGTAAACTTTTGACAGATGGATATACTAAACCAATTCCACTCCTTGTTAATTTTTAACAATTACTTGTTTAAAACATTCAGGTTGTGTCATGGCTTTACCATCACTACCCATCCTCTTCTGCCACATGTAAGGTGTGATAAAAAATATACAGTGAATATTTACATTTTTACAATGTACTACAGTAAAAAAATACATTGCTATTCATCCCTTTCAAAATGTTCCCCCTCATTTTGAATACATGTTTCATTCTTACCCCTCTCTGAAGCACTTCTAGAAGTCTTCTTTTGTATCTATACGTTATAGTCAAACAGTGGTGAATGTTGTAGCTGAGTACTATCCAACAGAAAAGCGGGCTCATAAAACATTATTATGTGTCCTTATCTACTTTACCCTCCAAGTCTGGTACTGTGCAACTTCTGGCTCTTTCCTAAGGTCAAAACAATCACAACAATCCAGGGCACATCTGAGTACGTGAGCTGCCACTGTACACTAGGAATCCATGGGCAGATCAAAACAGTCATAAAAGGTAGGTGTCTGAATCTATTCAGAACATCAAAGCTGCCACAAGCATGCAACTAAAGACATAACGTGGAGTTCCATGAACTGCCTTAGTAACTGGAAAGAACAGTGAGATCAGTGTCCTCAAAGTGAGGGGAGGATTTTGAGGGAGTGAATGTAGTGTGTCTTTCACTGTACCAAATTCTTTATTCAAAAATTCACTGCATTTTTATCACACCTTGACTATATTTTCAAAAGCCTTTTAAAGCCATGACAATGATGAACTGCAAACTATCAGAATAAAACTCATTAGGAAGAAATGAAATGAAAATATAGAAACTAAACAAGTTTACACACATACTGGTAAACAGAAAGGAGCAAGAAAATATCAGACACAGAGGTGAAGTGCAAAGAGCCAATATTTTGGCATTGCATAATTGCAGTCTATAGCTGGACTCTGATGTTCAGTGCACACAGTAACTTGTACCTGAGCTTTTCCTTCAGGAAAAGAGACCCGAATAGACACTTAATGTTGGGAGGAGTGTGAGGCAATCACAATTCAGGATGTTGCAGACACAGTCAAATGCTCTCCACTTTTAGATTCAGAAAAATCTGATTTCAGAGATTTCTAACACCTAGTAGTTGTGTGACCAGGAGCATGATGTCCAAGAGCCTTGGATTCCTCTATTTAAGTGGGAACTAACAATACCTGCTGCATAGATGGCAATGTCAGGCGCACAGAAGAGCACCTAGTGCTGGAACATCCCAGCAGTTCCACGATACTGGGCAGGAAGTAAATAGCATGGGGTCTGGCACAGAAAGGCGTCCAATTAGGTTTTGCGTCCACTTTACTAAATTCTAACATTAATTAGAAAGGGAACAGGAACATAATTACACTAACCCTACAATCACTAGAAGGAAGGCATAGTAAAAATTGCAATGAAGTAAAAATAAAAGTTCAGAGCTATTATAAAAGCAAAAGGTATTTCCAAGCAGGTGATGTGTGCATAAATTTTAAAAGCATTTTCCCTCTATAACTTTCAGGGATCTGGAAGCCAACCGAATAAAGCATCTTACAAATTCCACCTTTCTGTCATGCAAGTCACTTTCAGTGCTGTAAGTACCCAGAACACTTCAGTAAACGAGGAGAAACCCTTATACACTCTAAAGTTCAAAGGAAACTCGGACAAAAAATTTTAAAGTAGCGTTTTGTTTACAGCCTCTGCCCCAATCTGCAATACTTGGCAAGCGTACGCATTGATTTATTGGTTCTGAGGGGGAGGCTGAGCCTCCCACTGAGACCCCATGATTTGGGTCTCCACCTGACTCTTCCTTGTCCCTTGTGTTCACACCCTCAGGGGAACTGGCTGCCTGAGAGCTCCCGTCTTTTCACCTCATGGTGACCTGTGAAATGTGGTCGTGTACGTGAAAGTGCTTAGCTCCAGCATGGTCCGGTGGCAGGCCAATGACCTGCCACCCTAAAGACAGAGAAAAGGAGCTAACCTTTACTGGTTGGCCAGAGATTCAGATCAGTGATTCTGGTTACGGATTATACATTGGCAAGCTAGATTGGTTCATTGGCACGTTTGCACTAGTGAGTCCAAAAGCACAAGCATTTTGCATTTGTTTTAATTAGAGTTCTCCTCACATAGTAAGCACTTAGTAGGGCTTGCTAACTGAATGGGTTGTTGGAAAAAGAATGGAACAGAAAAATTGGAAAGAAACACTTCCTTTATAACCAGAGTCCGAGCAAGTACAGACTTATAGCCCACACTGGGAGCCCCAGATTGCTCCTAACAGCATTTCCCAGAAACATCCGGGACTGGCCTCAGGGAGACTCTGCCTCAGCTTCTGCAGCAGCAGAGCCTCCCGTCAAGACCTCTGAGGAGGCCGACTTAGCGACATCTCATCAGTGGCCTCTCCCAAGGGAGAACTGATTAGGACAGCAGACACAAACGCACGGTGCTGACTCTCGCCATGTCTTACAGGTTTCTGCCTAGAAATCAAATTGATTTTGTTCCAGAGAAGACATTTTCTTCATTAAAAAATTTAGGAGAACTGTAAGTAGTATCCTCCTCTAGGAAGAATGTGATTGCTTCTTCGGAGATTATAAATTTAAATGACTAGTGAAAGTGTTCTTCCACTAGTAGCAATCAAAATCCTGTAGACTATTGGATATGAAAAATCAGCTGAGAAAAATCAACCTAAAGTCAAAAGCAAATTAAAACAGACAGTGGGCTTAAAACAGAGTTATTCTACCCTAGTTCCTCTACCTATTTTCTTTGATTTCATAGATGGGTATGTATGGGAGTGAAGAAATGTTCTACGGCTTCTTAAATACAGACCTTTAATATTAGAGATCCTTTATCTCTTATGCCTGGAGTATAGTTAAGTCAAGAAACAATGCTTGCTTAATGAATAACAGACTGACTGAATTGACATTAACTAAATAAAATGGAACAAAGGAAAGAAAGTTCTGGTTACTTATTGAGGAGTTATGACTTCTGTAGCCCAGAAAGTGAATACATGTGCCTCAAATGAGAATTAGAGAAAAACTCTCAGAGCACTGAGGTAACATTTTCTGTACAGTTATATGTTTTGTAGGCCTAAACCTTTTTAAACACATTTGTTTTGCAATTAACTCACTTTTCCCTCCCATAATTGTGTGTCGCTGGAAGTTGAAATTAATTAGGTTACATCACAAATGGTGGCAAGTAAGATAGAGAACTCATCCTCCTGCCGGAGCCTTAAAATGAAAATTAATGTCAACGTTTCCCTCCCATTCTTTATACTTTGTTTTGTAATCCAGAAAGGACTCAGGAAGATAGCTAAATCATCTTTAAACATAAATCATGAATAATTGTGATAATTCAATCTAAATACTGTTATGAGCTAAACCCACCCATATATATAAAGTGCTCGGTATACACAATATTTTTAGTTCTGCATTAGAACTAAAATCATTATCATTCTATGACAAAAAATGAAAGGTAGCTCATTCAGAAGAAACATCCTGAAAGTTTCCCAGTCTGGCTCTGGAGAAGGAACGTGGCTGGGCTTTCAGGATGAAATATGGCAGCAGCCAAGGCTAGGAGGGGCCTGTTTGATGTATGACTTAATGAACTAGAAATGAAGCATTTGAAAATGCTCCCAATTCTCTTCTCATCCGACATGAGGTGGAACCCTCCCAAAAGGTGGAGGCTGGGATCCTGCTAAAGAGATACCAGCTGCTGTTTTTAGAGTCATCCATAACCCATTCCAATCCACTTACCCTCAGGAAGCTACAAGAAATTCAGTAGTTGATAAACCTAACCGGAGCAAAGCATTTATACATCTTGAGCTGATGAGTGTCAGGTGATCTTACTGTACCATTATGACATTGGATTCACCAATAAGTAAAAGCACCAGAGACCCCAACATCCTTTTCCCCAAGAGAATCAACTTCATTTCTCTGTGTAGCACTTTTAAGGAGTTTCCCGGTCATCAGCATCTTGGCCTTTTTTGTGCTCTCTGGCCATTCACACCTATGGCCTTATTCTGGGCTGTGATCCAGGTGTCTCTTCCCATCTGGGCACCTGATCCAAATTCCCAACCAGCAGGGCTTGAGGCTGGACGTGAGGACAGCCCCTCCAAAGCCATCTGCTTAATGCTAACCTCACAGTACGCCTTAAACCACGGCAAGTTCTTCCCCTGAACCCTCCAGTGTAGCAGTGTCAGCTCCCTCCCAGAGTCCAGTCTTAAAGACTGCTCCCTTGGCCTGCGCCCCACTCTTAACACTTACGTTCTCTCTGTCTTAAGCTCTGCTGGTGTCCCTGTCAAGCCTGCCTCAGCTTTCTCCTGGTCCATACAGAAGCTTCCCGACTGATCTCCCTCCTCTGACTCTTGGTTTTTAACCTTTCTTTTACGTTTCTGATACAGTTGTACCCAATTCAGAGCATGTGACACTGTCCTGCTTACTGTTCTTACCCTTTATTTTCTGGTGTTTAGCAAAGTCCTCAACGTGGTTCTCCAATGTTAGTGTTCAGGGAAGCACCGGTTTAAATGAACGTTACCAGGCTTCCTCCCTGGGGTTTTGATGTTTTGTTCTGACTTGCGCACTGAAATATGGTCCTTTGGTGAGCATCCTCAGTAATTCTGATGCCCGACTGTACCCTAGGGATACTACTTTGGAGTGGATCCATGGCCCTCCCATCTACCTTCATGGACTTTTCTGGGCACTCTTCTCCTACATTTCCCCTATATTTTTTTCTCCTCTGCCCTTATTGGACCATTTGTTGACTCTGAAGATGTTGTTCAATTCCACTCAGTCTGTTTCTCTGATCACACTTAACTCTCACCTGAAAATCTGTTGTTCTTTTATGCCACCACCTAAAATCATCAAGCTTCCTGATTTCTCAGGACATGATTGATGACCTCTCCCTATGTCTTTTGTCTGTATTTTTAAAATAGAACTTTTTTCAGACTTTCTTTGTTTTATAACCTGGCTATATTAGTCCATTTTCTATTATTATAACAAAATACCTAAGGCTGGATACTTTATGAAGAAATGAGGTGTATTTAGTTCATGGTTTTGAGTGCTGAAAGTCCAAGCTCAAGAAGCCAAGGGTTTAGGGGCCAGATTTATTTTTATATAACAACTCATTTTCTGAGAAGTAACTGGAGTCCCACCAGCATCTCTTCTGAGGTCAGCATTCCCTATAATTTAACCACCTCCCACTAGGCCTCACCCCTTTAAAGTTCTATCACCTAATCTCCTGAAACCAGTCTCCCAACACATGAAGGGACAAACCACAGCCAAACCACAGCACCACTCATTACTTGGAATGAAAGTTTCCTTGGGGAAAGCTGTAATCCTTAGTGATTTGTAACTCTCATATTTCCATCACCACCTCCATTGTATTAAGCATAGTTAAGCTTTTTGTTCATCCTTAATTAGACAATTGTACATGTTCTCATATCTTTTTCTGGCTCAGAAAATTCTTTGGGATTCATAAAAATTATTGATTTCTTCTGATCCAAATAAATCTCTTTTCTGCATTCTACAGAGTCACTTCCCTATGATTCTTTCTGGACATCCTATTATATTTAACTCTACACTCTCAATTTTGTATACACAAAATAGTCCTATTTAAGAATGTATTAAAAATATCTAGTCTTGGGACCAGAGGCGTAGTTCAGCAGCATAAGCACCCACCTCATGAGTTCAATTCCCAGTTGCAAAAAAGAAAAAAAATCTAGTCTTATCCATTCAAGGCAGATATGCAGCGAGCAATATCACTACCTTACGTGAAATGCAAAGTAGAAGACTTGACCACAAAAATAATAGTTGGACAAACAAGAGATCACATATATGAAGCAAATAGGAATCACAGAAGCTGAATGATAGAAATTGCAAAAAGTGCCTAGGACAGATAAAAGTAATCAAAGCAGATTTGAAGCCAGGGTGTGTTATAGAATGGGTAAAAGGAAATTCCAGGCAGGAACCAGATGAGCAAAGTACCATGTATTTGTAAGCAATGGAAAACTGGCATTAATTTCATTTTGGGTTTCGATGTTGTCAAGAACTTTGCCAGTTATTTGACTGATACAGGTGGCCTTGTTGTATAACGAGTTATCAGGTTGGTTATATTGGATCCACAGTTTCTGTTTTATCATGTGATACAGTAACTGTGTGGAGTAATAATTATGTCCCTTATTTCCAGAGTAATTGCTTTGGGTTTTTGCTGTCATCAACAGGGATCTGTCCAGCAATATGATGACGGAGCTACCACCCCATCTTTTTAAAGACCTAAAGCTTCTACAAAAACTGTAAGTTCTTCTCATAGTCATCAGATTTCAGTGACGACCTTTTAGGCTTCCAAAATGATCACATCTGTGCTTGTTTTCCCTTCCTTTAAAAGGAACCTGTCATCCAATCCTCTTTTGTATCTTCACAAGAACCAGTTTGGAAGTCTTAAACAACTTCAGTCTCTGTAAGTAAAGTATTATAAGTTCGTCAATTAGAACTCCAGTGGATGTATTTTACTTAGACACACATTTGTTGTCAAATGAGTATTTCCCACACAGGGGTTTGCATCCTCAGATCATTGTGAGTATCATGTTATAATCAATTATGTGCTTGATGAAAATAAAGCCTTGTTTTTTAGTATTAAATGGTGTAAAGGCCATTTCTGTGTTGGAAATGGCATATATTTCCCATATGTTGGTGGTTTGACCCTCAAAAGTTCATGTTTTGGGAGACTGGTTTCAAGAGAGTAGGTGATAAACTTCAAAGAGGTGAACCCTAGTGGGAGGAGGGTAAGTCACAGGGAAGGCTGCCCTCCGAAGAGAGTTCCTGCCTACGGAGAAATCTCACCATGCACTTTTCACAGTGAATTAAATTGGGATAATTTTGTTTCAGTTTAGTTAAACAAATTATCTAAGACTTGGATTTTTCCCCCACTTTCCCTTCTCCTATGATATCCTACTGGTATCAGTCTACAGTGTATGATTTTCACTTTTCAGCGTTGTTTTAAGATCCCACAAATATGAGCATTCAGACCATTAGTGTTGTATAGTACCTTAAAATTTGAATCATTTTGGGTTTCGATGTTGTCAAGAACTTTGCCAGTTATTCTTTGGACTTCATGACTGCTTTCCTTTGAGTAACCATTTGTTGGCTACAGTTTGTATGTTTTGTACAGAGATCGTGTTGTAGCACTTGATTTTGGCCTAAGCATTTCTTCATTTAATTTCAAATACCAACCTATAACATCACTTTGTGTTCTTAAGTAGGTTTCTATTAGAAATTAATGAACGATTAAGTTCTTTTTCAGCAGATACTACTGAGCATCAACTGATAAAGACTTGGTTTCTGTTCTCAAGAGGCTGAAAAGTCCAAAAATCTATAAATAAGTCATCCTTTTTAAATACATCAACCGCCCTCAGGATGCAGAGAACTTGATTCTTACTTCACTTCCTACATATTACATTTCTGAAAGTCAGAGTAATGATGATGTTACTCTGTGCCTTTCTTCCCTTATTCCTTTCCCTCTTTTATTTCCTTTTTTATTTTTTCTAAGATTCACATTTATCTTTATTTCCTCAACACTTATTCAACATCAAACTATGCATTATACTTCGTTACTTAGGACAGAGTGGCTTCTGATATTTAGGACATTAGAAGATATTGATCATCTAATTATACAATCTGTGTACAACTAAAACTGTGACAGGTAAAGGAGAAAACCAGACAGCAAAATAGAGAGGGAATGGGGATCTTTAAAAAAAAAAAAAAACGGTTTTGAAAAAAGGACTCAGAGTTCTTTCCTAGAGGGATTATGTGATGATGGGTAATATACGAGTTTCCTCAAATTTACTTCTGGTTGCCAACAGCAAGAGGACTCCTCTGTGAAGGACACAGCAGGTAAGGAAAATGCACAACCACATTGATAAGTTCTTATTTGGATCAGCCAAAAGGCAACTAAGTGAAAAGCAGAAATATTTTAAGTTAAACTTGAAGAGCAAATAGTTTCCATTGTTTTAGATTGCCCTCTTTCTGTCCATTTTCCGAGAATATGGTAGCTTCCAGTGCACAGCACCCTAAAGAAGTCTTCACAATATGCGTATTTGTAAAAGCTTCCAGATGATGTGAGAGATGATGTAGGGGTGATCACTGAGGCCTTTGGAGGATGACTTCCGAGACCTGGAGGGATTACAAAAATTACACTTCCCCTTAGAAACAGATTGTCCCAAACTGAACTCCTCTAGTATCTTCCTGATTTTCCACCCTAAAGACACAGAGGTCAAAGGAAACAAATATTTAAATCCTGACTTAAACTTTGGTGATGTTTTTGGGATGAATGTATCAGCTCCTGAGTGAAACCCTTTCATTCCCATAGGTTTTTTTTTTTTCTTTGATCAAACTGTGGGAAATTTTCATATTCAAATGAGAGATACCGAGGCTATATTTTTATTTATGTATTTTTGTGATGCTGGGGATTAAACCCAGTTCTCACACATGCTAAGCAAGCACTCTACCTCTGAGCTATACCCTCAGTTTCTTGGACTTTTGAATCAAAGAAATACATAAAAGTTTTCTTTTAGGTTGTAATTCTGTATATGAAATGACAAAACCATTTCCAACACGTAGGAGCTTTAAGTAGAAGTAGTAATTCTCTAACTAACTTTTTCACCTTAATTTGGATTAGTAACATAAGATTGGAAGCATCCTTTTTAAGATGTGACAAAGAAGAAGGCAATTATCACACAGTGTTACCTTTAAAACATCAAACACATTGTGTTTATTTTCTAGAGACCTGAGAAGGATAGAGATTCCAAATATAAATACAGAAATGTTTCAACCTCTGAAGAACCTGTCTCACATGTATGTATGTATGAAAGAATGGAAAAAGAAAGCATGTTAAATGTATCAAATGTTCTCATGTCAACTGTCTGATGTATCACTGAATTGTGTTTTTATGCAACAAAAGTTTTTTTTTTATTGAGAACCTTTTAATTTTGTCACCTTTGGTCCAAATAGAGTTCAATATTATGATGTGCCGACATGAATGACCCTTCTCTCTGGAAACATGCTGTTTATCCAATTGAGGTCCAATCAGAGATCAGGGTACCAGAATGCCACATATTACACAAGATGAAGTCACTGGCTAACTGGTATCAGGCGACCTGGAAACATTAATTCACCTCACATGAATGAGCAGTCGGCTGCTCTAAGATTTGAGCCCTTAGGAAGAAAGGTGCTATATAAATTCCAGGTGTTGTTACTGTTACTAAGTGCACTACAAAATGGAGGTAATTAATCTTTATAGTAGTTTTTGTTAAGTCACTTTAATATATTAAGTTAAAGTGCACTGTGTAAGTTGTGTTAATATATGTTTATGACATCTTTTATCAACTGTGTGATCTGTGTTCTTGATTTCAAAAATTAACCATTGTTGTCCACAAAACTAGGGAGGACTCGTAAGATGAAAAGTCGGGTGCGGCAGGGGCTGACAGTGTTGGTATGAAGGTGGTTTTGGGGAAAACACTTTGTTTATATCTGTGCAGGTGGTGTGATGGTTAAAAGGCAAGTGTCTGAGGCACATCCAGAAGGTTCCGTTTGTTTCTCTTTCTGTGGCACGCTTAGATAAATACTTAATGAAGCCAACACTTCCTGTTGCAGGCGGGAAGTGAAGAATAGAATAGAAACCATTTTAGAAGTTGGTGGAGACATTGCTGTTTTAAATATCAAACCTCAAGTCACAGGCAGGAAGGACCCAAAAGGCAACAGAAAACATTCTCACCTAGCTAGCTTCTTAATAAGTGGCCTTCTTCTCTATTGTCTTTGTCCTTTACTTATTGAAATACCTCCTTCATCAGCCCTATACCTTTCATCTGCCAACTGGCCACTGGGGGAGACCCTAGATGTCTCTATCTGAAGACAGTGAACGTAATGGAACCCTAAAAAAAAAAAAAAAAAACCCAAGAGATCAGGTCCAGTATCTGCTCCAGGGAAAGGAAAGCAAACAAAGGGAAATGTCAAGTGTTTTTTAATAGCATGCATATATCAGGAAGCGGGATGCACGCTGCTTGAGAGCAGGAATTGCCTCCTGTGTCTATTGGACGTGGCCTCGTCAATTACCCATTGTCCCTCTGCTGATCAAGGAAATAGTTGTTGAGTCCCAACAGGTGCCAGTTACTATTCTAGTTGCTAGAAACACTAAGATCAACAAGAGAAAAGATGTTTGTCTTGCAGATCTTTCCTTTAGCTTTGGAAATGGGATAAATAGTAAATAAAGTTATTAAATGCCATGAAGATAAGGGAAGTAAAATGCAGGGTCAGAAGGAAAGTCAGAGTGATGTGACCCTTGAGCAGACCTGAGCAGAGGGAGGAAGCAAGTTTGCCAATATCCAGAGAAAGAACCTCCGACCACAGGGAAAAGCAAATATAAGACTCTAAGAAGAGAGCCAGGGTTGGAGGATAAAAGCAAAGCAATTGTGTCTGGGTGGAAGGAAGCCTAGAAGCTGAGGGCAGCCAGGGGTCCAGTCACAGGAGCCCTGAGAGCGTAGCAAAGGAAAAGCTTTGTTAAACTTAGGAGATGACAACAAGTGGATCTGACTTAGAGAAAAGAGTAGATAAGTGAAATGAAAGAGGCAGTAAAGAATAAAAACAGATTGAGTTTATGGAAGAAAATCTTGGTTTGAGGGGGGTGGTCATAATCCAAAGGACCTCAGCAATTCCAGTCCATCACGACTCCCCATGTCTGGTTCATAAACACTGTAAATATACTGCCTATAGACGAGTCTTTCCCAACCCTGGCAAGCAATCTGCATTGAAAGCTACTTCTCCTAGCTCCAGGGAGGCTGAATTTCCCTAGTCTCGGACCTGCCAGTATCAGGGGGAAATACTACTTTAAGTAGACCTCAGTGGGCAGGACTCAGGAGGAATCAGGAATGTCTGTAGTCAGCTGCAGTAGATTCCTTCCATCCCTGATGCGAGCCCTGGATGCTGGCTAGAGATCAGTTCACCAATGACAGTGCACACTGCGTACCATGCAGCAAGGGAATGATGCAGTGTGACGGGGAAAGGTAGAGCCCCTGAGATTTCACATTCCCATCACTCCCCCGACTCTGCTCAGCCAGCCACCTCTGCCCTTCTGTGGCCCCCAGGTTCCTACTCATTCAGAGGACCCTGCCTGGAGTAATACGATTTAATAAAGAGCTCTCTAGTTATATAGTCACTGCCGAACAAAACTAAACAAGCGAGTCTAGCCAGGTTGCTGACCTAGCAGAGCTGCAGCTCCGAAACGGCTGCAGCTGAGGTTTCTGTATCACTACTGTAAAGTGACTCTTGTTTTCCCTTTGACTTTAGTTATTTCAAAAACTTTCGATACTGCTCCTATGCTCCCCATGTGCGACTATGTATGCCCTTGTCTGACGGCATTTCTTCATTTGAGGACCTCTTGGCTAACAATATCCTCAGAATATTTGTCTGGGTTATAGCTTTCATTACCTGCTTTGGAAATCTTTTTGTCATTGGCATGAGATCTTTCATTAAAGCTGAAAATACAACTCACGCTATGTCCATCAAAATCCTTTGTTGTAAGTATGTTTCCTATATAAAGGGAAAGGATATCTTCTCTCTGAACTGTGCACTGGATGTATATATGTGTATATATATGTATATATATATATGATGTATGTGGATATATGTACATATATCATCAAATGTCATTTAATAAGAATTATGTATGGTGGGAAAATTTATTTTTAAAATATTAACATGCTATTCTTGGTAGCTATATTTTAGATCATATAATCTCATAGTGAACTGGCCCTGGGGATCTTGGCTTGGAAATAAGGAACAAAATGATAAGTCAGGTGACAGATCATAGAGCAAATGTTGTGGGTTATTCAGTGGCACCCAGGCCACCCTAAGCTCAGATTCCTTTTATTAATTATACAAGTAATTCATGTTTACTGTTTTAAAACTAGCTCTTCTCCAAATAAGGTCTCCCTCCTCCTCTTTATTAAAGCAAAGATATACTGTGGTACTCTAGCACAGATTTTGAAGTCCTCTGGATTCTTGGTATTGAGTAGGCAATCACATTAGTTTATTTGATATAAGATGCAGGAAACCTAATCAGAAAATTAACACAAGAGGTGCTGGGCACTACCAACAGACACTGCATCGATTCCTCACAGGTGCCGACTGCCTGATGGGTATTTACCTGTTCTTCGTTGGCTTCTTCGATATAAAATACCGCGGGCAGTATCAGAAGTACGCCCTGCTGTGGATGGAAAGCCCACAGTGCCACCTCCTGGGCTTTCTGGCCATGCTGTCTACTGAAGTCTCGGTCTTGTTGCTGACCTTCTTAACTCTGGAAAAGTTCCTGGTCGTCGTCTTCCCCTTTAGTAACATCCGACCTGGAAAGCGGCAGACCTTGGTCATCCTCAGCTGCATCTGGATGGTGGGATTTTTGATAGCTGTGATTCCCTTTTGGAATGACAATTACTTTGGAAACTTTTATGGGAAAAATGGAGTATGTTTCCCACTTTACTATGACCATACAGAAGCTACTGGAAGTCAAGTATATTCTCTTGGAATTTTCCTAGGTAAATTGTATTTTTCATTCCCTGTATAACCATCATTTTGAAAGAAATACCATAAACCATAAATACCATAAAAGGTAGATTTGTCTATTTTAGGAAATAAATGAATATTGTCAATTAGATGTCATTTGTAGGAAAAAGTTATTGCTATGTACTTATGAGGGTTTTATTAAATTTTTATTGTAGGCCCTTATTTGGAACAGAAGGACTGGATGGTCTTGTTTTAAAATTTTTTTCCTACATTCCTTTGTCGCACCTTCCCATATAGTAGCTGTGCTGAGAGACTAGGCTAGTCCTGAAAGCCCAACTTATTTGAACTCTCCTTTTTTTACAACTTAGTTATGAATCAAATAAATAATAAAAATCTGTAAACTCAGTAGCAGATTATCTGAATGAAAATGCCAGGAATATTTGTTGCCTTTGATAAAGGAAACTCTGAAATCAGCCAACTCTTAATAAGAATATTTGCTTCTCAGTTTTCTTAATTCACCTTATTGTTTTTGGAAAACTGCATACTTTCATTCACAAATGTACGACAAATTTAGTCCCATAAAGTTGAAATTTTTTCTATTCTCTAATACGTATTAATTCTGCTTGAAGTTATTCATCTATCCTTTAACTGTGGTATATCATCATGTTCATTCCCCTTTCTGTCCTTTTATCCACGTGGTCATCAGAGTCTAGTCCTAGATCTCAGTCTATGATCTTTTCTTTTGCATTGGACAATTTTAATTAAAATACACATTTGTCTACATTCCTTCAGGTCTCTACTCTCTTCAGTGGCTGTCACTTGAGATCTTCCTGCCTGCACTCTTAGTACTGATGTAGCCCATACTGATCTTTAGCCTTGGGGTTTATCTGTTTATCTGTTCACCACCCTCCCCAGAGACCTTCAGTAGTTTCTGTATTACTTTCAAGGCCAAGTTTAAATGACTTGCCTAAAACTCGTCACGACCTGTCTCAACCATTGTCACTAGGTCTTCTTCGTCTACTCCTCTTCATTCTCTGAAAAGCTGAACACTTCATTTGCACCATTTGGAAAATCCCCTTGCACAATGCTCTCCTTGGTATTTACTTATTCATAAGACTGTCACACAGAGGATGCATGCGTAATTTCTTCATGGCTTCTAGCTTGGGGCATCTCATACACACACACACACACACACACACACACGCTCCCCCTCACATACAAATTACATTTATTGATTTAGCACCTTCCACACCTGTGCGTTGGATTGGGCACAGGAGATGAAACAGATCCAACCACCACAGACCTTAAAGACCAGAGAGGAAGGTGCAGATGTCTACTAAACTCTTACATCATAGACTGATCCACGCCAGAGAGTACAGGATGTTCCAGGAGGCCCAGCCTGAGGACTAGGAAAGGCTTCCCAGTAGAAACGTACGCAAACTGAGGCTCAAAGGATGAAGAGGCATTGGGGGAGCAGGACATGGTCTGTGTCCTAGAGAAAGACACGGTGTGTTCAGAAGACAAAGCCAGGAGCAAGGCCAGAGGAAGCACTAAAGTAGTCGGACACGGTTGAATGCATCTTAGTTACGGCATGAGGGCCTACCACAAAGGGTTAGGCACTTCATGTGTATTCCATGTGGACAGACAGACGGTACCACACACACACGTACACAAATGCTCCTGTCATCATTCCAATCCTAGTAGACACTGTTTGTATAGAAGTCCCAGAGCTCTAAAAAAGTGCACTTTTTCTGTTTGAACAATATAGAATATAGAATTTTTAATTGTTTAATTTAGAATAGTTTGGATTTAGAGAAAAGTCATACAGATAACAGTTTCACCTGTTGTTAACACCTTTCTCTCTTATATAGATTTAGAATATGTGCTTTTAATCCTTTAACTAAGTCTATTTCTAGAATGTGGGCCAGAGGAATATTTTTAAACCAGAGTTATTTCTTTTTTTGTTTAAACTCTGACAAGAAGCCTAAGACAAATCAGTTTTGTAAAATTCTATTGTATAGTTTATACTGGTATTTATTTCATGAAACCTGAAATCCTTTTGATAAAAATAAACTTTAAAGTATATTCCCAAGACTTTACCAGTCTCACATCTAGGTTCAGATTAATACATTTTAAACAATTTTGAAAATATACACAAATTTTATGATTCTCTATAAGGAATTAGATAAGCACTCAGGATTTTTAGTACAGACAGAATAAAGCAGATAAAATGACTACAAAGTCAACTTTACAGGGGATAGTGTTGTTAAATTAAAGTCTCATGAATATTTTTGGCCCCAGGAGAATGATTTGTATAGTTGAATCTATAAGTTTTTTTATTTCTTTTCTAAAATGAGGCCAAATCGCCCTGATCCACAGCCGTTAAATCACTAAAGAAAAAATTCTTTAAAAAATGTATTTTTGTTCCATGTATTATTTTTATATAAGAACAAAAAGTATTAAACATAATATTTCTAAGGCAGTAATAATCACAATAAATCCTGAGATTATTTTATTCATATGTATATTAAAGAAATGGAATTATATGTATTGTTTGAGACATGCTGTGATTATAGTAATCACTTAAAGTTTGAAGTTACAAAGAGGTACAAGCATTATAACAGTTTTTTTCACACTTTAAATAAGCTAGAGTTTACTTTGTGCCTTATCTAGATCTGAATTTTAAAAGCCTGTAATTCTTGACAAGGGCTTTATGTCTCTGAAATCTCTTTTTGAATTGGAATACTCAGTTGATTCCTTCATTGTATTTCCTTAAACACATAAATTTTAGTTAAATATCACTGGGCATATATAAAAGAATGCTTCTTGAAAGCCTCAAGATTAAAAGACACCATATTTAATATCTAAGCACCCCAATATTTGATTGATACATACTCCCAAAATGTTTAGAGATGTGCTTTTTTTCCAACAGGTGTAAACTTGCTGGCTTTTGTCATCATCGTGTTTTGCTATATTATTATGTTCTGTTCAATTCAAAAAACCGCCGCACAGACAGCAGAAGTGAGGAATCACATTGGAAAAGAGGTGGCTATTGCCAACCGTTTCTTTTTTATAGTGTTCTCTGATGCCATCTGCTGGATTCCTGTATTTGTGGTTAAAATCCTTTCCCTCCTGCGAGTGGAAATACCAGGTCAGTCACTTTTATGGTGCCTAAGTATCTTATGCCTTCTCATGGGCTCTTCCTGCAATCCGATCAGAATCTAGAACAGTGCTCTGCATATGTAAATTCTCCATAAATACCTATGGCTTCAATACAAAGAGTTCTTATTTTCCTGAAATATTTTAGAATTGGCATTCTAAACTGGATAGTAGTCCAATCCAGGGAGGGGTAATTTAAAAATGGGAACTATAGAAAAAGTAAATCTGATCACTTTGCTTCTACCTGAGACAGACAGTGGTTCTTACGCAGGGATATGAAAAAAATCAAAGTATACATGCCCAGGTTCTTCCCACACCTCTGGGGTTTTATCCCCAGGAGCTAACATAGACATAGGTATTTTGCCAAAGCTCCCTTATGATTCTGATTCACACACACCTGAAAGGAACCACTGGTCTACTGCATGGTCCAAGCTATGAAATATCACCCTGAGTTCTGTGGAATGCTGGATGCTCCACAGAAGAGCCTCATCCAAAATGCTAGGTTCCCAGGACACAACCCAACTTAAATCAGAGAGAATCATCCTTCATGAGTAAAGATTTTCCTAGAAGTATTTTCTAAGATCTAGAGATCAAAACAATTTTCGAATTTTCCAAGATCGTGACACAGACTTCAGGATCATCTTCAATGTATTATTTCAGCCAATAGCAGATTTATTTTAGGAGTTAATCCAGGAAAGGAATTGCATCTCATTCATCCCATAATCCCACTGTCAAGCAGGGCGACTGCCTCATTGCAAGCCCAGATGAAAGTGACAAATGCACAAACGACAAGCATCTCTATTGGCTTTCATTTGGCTCATACAAGAAGTTGAAGAGGTCTTCTCAGTTGCCTTCCTACAAAATAGTATGTGGCAGCCTCAGCATCTTAATGTTCACAAGCAAGCAGAGATGTCTTTCAAGCATGTGATTTGTGGAAGTGAAAATCGGGAGAGCCTTTATTGTTCTGGATAGTAAGAGGAGAAGCCCTCAGTTTTCTGTGAGTTCCTTAGAGAAGAGGCAGTCAGACAGGACAAGAATGGTAGAGTTCATCAAATATCAATGATCCCAGATGTTCTCTTGAACAGTCTCCAACTATGACTACTACCTCAATTTTAATGTCCTGCATTTCAAACTCAACAGGACTTAAATGTCCATTGGTGTCCATTGCTCAGAGAAGGAAGTCCAAATGTTAGGATTAGTGTTAAAACATCCCTTTCTTCTGAACTCACCTTCGTGTATTCAAGGTTCATTTGAATGTTTGGACTTTTTCTTCTGTGCTTTCCTGTTATGATATCAGCTTTCACTAAAAATGCTTCCCTCTCCTGATTATATTTACACTGAATAAGACTCCAGCCTACTAAACCCTTCTTATCCCATAAGGCTGAGCCCAATTTCTCCCTCCTCTGCCACACCATTGCAGATCTCTCCCTATCTGCTTTTCATCCAGTTGCTTAGCTGTCCATCACAGCCCATTAACCTTGTCCAAGCTGCCTTACGTTAGCATTACTTTTAAAAGTACCCATTGCCCCCTTAAGATCATAAGCTTTGGAAGGGTGGAGGCCTTCTCTTATTCACCTCTGCATTTTCTACAGTGCCTTTCACATAGTGTTGTTTAAAAAACGAAAAAGTAGCTGCCATGCTGTGAGCTTCCCTGTGGAGAACATAGGAGATAAGAACACAGGAGGCCGTCACCCAGCGTGTAAGCTCCAAAGAAGTCCATGACCTAAGAGACTTGTCCAGACAATTACAGAAGCTGAGCTCCTCCAGTAATGGTAGAACAGATGGAGCTTACCCCGTCCACTCCTGTCTGCTCACCTGCGGGTGTATCTTCCCGCTGCAGGCACTCACCTAGCCCAGATGTAGGGCAGGTGAGAGAAAGACCCTTCATGGAGCCGGTAAAGTTCTGGGTTCCTGCCTGACCAAGTCACTAACGTGCTAAGGGAATTTAAAAATGATCACCTCATCTCATTGACACTCTTTCTAGAAGATTGTATCAGTAAGTTCTCACTAGAGAAACAGATTTAATATCTAATATATAAATGTGTAAGGGTTTACAAGGTAGGCTTACAGAGGCCCCTTTCACAGTCAGGGGTAGAAAAGTGCAAAAGGGTTGTCTACATCCCGGAGATTCAAAGGATCCATGGAAAACACAAAGTCCTGGAGCACACTGTAGTGTCCTGTGTGAGGCTAAAGGTTCGGCAATAGAAGGCTATAGAGTCTGCGCTGGACCCCAGCGGATGACATCCAGGGAGAAGATGAAGACTAGAACTCCTCCAAAGAAACAGAAGTGCCACTTCCTTCTTCACTGCCATTTTTATTTCATTCAGGCTCCCAGCCTTGACTGGTGCCTCTCATACCCAGAGTGGGTCTTATGTGTTCCATGAATCCACTTAGCCACACCCAGAACTATGCTGATCCAATTAGTTGGGCATTTCTTACTCAAGTTGACAAAGCACCTAACTATCCCAGTGGCCTCTCAAATTACTTCAACTTCTTTTATTCTGTGTCTATTAATTCTTTGAGCCTTTAACTCTCTCTATTAACCTGCAAGGTTATTCCTCTATTAGCTTACTATCCAAATAAGGTATCTCAGACATGTGTTTTCTGGAAACACATGTATTTTCTGGAATGCATTTTCTAGAAGTCCATGATCTAAGTGTTGGCAAGGTCGGTTATTCCTGAAGCCTCTCTCCTTGTCTTATCCACCTTTCACTGTGTCTTACTGTGGCCTTTCCTCTGTGTGCACATCTGGAGTACCTCCTCATATATCCTAACTTCCTCTTTATGAGAATAGGACTCACCCACTAACCTCATTTTAATTTACTCTAAAAGTTTTAGAGATAGAATCACATTCAGAGGTACTGGGACTTTGATAAAGGAGGAAGCAACTCAGTCCATGCTCTCTCTGATTTATGATCAGGAGATGTCTAGGGGTGAAGGGCATCTGATAACAGGAATAATCAGCATCCTCGGAGAGCCTAAGACACTTCAGATCATGATAGTCTTAACTATGAGCTCCATGAATGTCACCAGAACAGAAAAGTGTCATCTTGTAAAACCACGACTGTGCCACACACCAGTCGTTCTCCAGTTATGTTCTCTCCTCCAGGGTTTGCCAGGAACATGATTGTAGGCCCATGAGAGCAGACTTTATGACATTTGACAATTGTCTTCCCGCTTGTCCAACGTTGCATAGTGTTATAGGAAATGCAATAGTCACTGACCTAGAGCCAGCAACCCGTCCCTACGTTCAAGCTCCCTGGGGTCTGATGGTCAGGATATGTCACTGATAATACCTGGATTAACCCAAACGATGAACCAGCTTTAACCCTGCAGCCTCACAAACAGCTGCTGAATTTAAATTAGGGTGTCTCCCTAAGACTGAACAAGAAGCTTCGTTCAGAGTGCAAATTGCTTATAAAACCTTCAGTGACCTATTTGTCTTTGTCTAATTGAAAGCAGGTGCTATGAGGAACTGTTTTTCACCTGGGTTGGGGTAAGATTACTGGTCAGTGTTTCTTTGGGAGCACAACAGACAGAAACAAACTACTTTATCTTCATCAGCTAACTGTTCAAATTATCTTTTTTATTAAGGCTAAAAATATAAAAATTTAATAAGTCAAAGATAGGATAAGTACGTGTGTGTGTGTGTGTGTGTGTGTGTGTGTTCCTTTCATTTTCTTTCCAGTTTTAAAAAAATAGGTCAAGAAAGAGAAGAAGGAATAGGGAAAAGAGGACAGCAAATATGGGGGAGGGAAGAGAGATAGAAAGAAAGAGACAGAGAGAGGGAGGTCAGATAAGCTGCCAAGGAAGACAGAAGAATGAAGGGTTATAGGGAGCAAAGGTAGCATCAAGAGAAAAATAAAACTAAAGGGGAACAAAATCATGGAGTCAGAGACAAAAAGATCGGCCTTGCTTTCCAGCTCTTCACCCGGCTAGGAGTTATTTGAAAGTCACTTTCTCTGTCTCTGTCTCTCTCGTCCCTTTCCTTGAAGTACTGCGGATTGAACCCAGGGCCCCTTGCATGTTACATAAACTGCTCTAGCCCGACTCACATGTCCAGTGCTTTTTATTTTTTATTTGAGACAGAGACTCCTAAGTGGTCCAGGCTGGTCCTGAATTTGTTATCCTCCTGCCTTCTACTCCCAAGTAGCTGGGATTACAGATTTGTACCAGCACACCCAGCTTCTTTGAATTTGTGGGGATACAGAAAAAGGCAGCTTCTCTGGTTGGGTTTGAGAATGTCAGGTGTTGGTGTTTCAAAAAATATCCACAGAAATGAGTAGCTGAATCAACCCCACCAGCTCCCTTTTATAGAGAAGGAAGGAAATGCTTAGAAAGAGTAAGGGATTTGACCAGGGTCACATCTAAGAATGTCTCATCCAAAGAGCAGGCTGCCCTGAAAGGGACAAAATACATTTCATTGTAATCCATTGGATGATACTCTCAGCAAGGACACTATCATTCTAAATGTCTCCTCAACAGGACCCTTTGTGGTCTCCTTATCTAAATATCCTATTAGCATGCGTGTGGCTGTACACAAAAAATTCATCAGGCTTGAAGAACCCATTCCTCTCCAAATGTTTAGATGAGAATAACGGGTTAATAGGATTACCACAGGAATACCAGGGCAAGGAGCCTTTTGGACTAGAAGCTTCCTGAACCTATTCTGTAGTTTAAGGAATATTTCCTTTATTTTTTTAATTTTTATATAAATGAAGACAATAAGAACAAGAAAAATATATCACATAACAATTTACAGCTTACAAAGTGTTTTCAGATCATTTGTTCTTGTTTTAATAACAATCTATGATTTAGTTACTGAAACTCAAAAAAATAAAACCTTGAGTCATTAACTTCTATGTTCTTTTATCAAAGAGCTTTACAATAAAGTGAGAGCAAATTTAAATGTGTGAAGGAGCACTTTCATGGTTGCATTGCTGTGAAGTGTTATTTGTATTTTATGTCTATTTACACCTTCACCTTCAACCTGAGGATGTAGCTCAGTGGCAGAGCTACACAAGGCCCTGAGTTCAATTCCTAGCACACACACAAAAAAAGCCTTAATCATCTTCTGTTCTGTTTCACACTTTGTTTCCTCCCTCTGCAGGCACAATCACCTCCTGGATAGTGATTTTTTTCCTTCCGGTAAACAGTGCCTTGAACCCAATCCTCTACACTCTCACCACCAGCTTTTTCAAGGACAAGTTGAAACAGATGCTATCTAAACATCGAAGGAAATCAATTTTCGAAATTAAGAAAAGAAGTTTATCTGCATCCATTGTGTGGACAGATGACTCCTCTTCACTTAAGCTTGGAGTTTTGAACAAAATAACATTTGGGGACAGTATAATGAAACCTGTGCCCTAGTAAAGGTTAAATCTCTTGACCTTCAAAGGATTACCTGTAACAGGTACAGCTTTTGGAAGATGGCGTCTGCAATGCTTTCATCTTGGTCAGTGGTCACCTTTCTACACAGAGGACACAGCAGAACAACCGCTGGCCCTGCATTTCAGGGGTAGCTCCACCACCTACCTACTGTGCTAAGAACTACACCAAGGGGCTCTGCTCTGACACTCCTGATACACACGTGTGAGTTTGTGCAGAGTAGGATGCCATGCAGATCCACCATGAATGCTCACATGTAGACACTGCACAGTCTTCTCCATCTAGTTGCACTTTCCATAAAATAAAACCATTCATGGTATCTTATTCTAGTGTGACCGTAGTAACATAAATCCAACATCTCTTTCCTTGCTTTTTTAATATCAAGTAAAATCATTAAGATCTTTTCAGAGACAGCAAAGAATTTCTGAGATGTTCACCCACCCCACGTCCTACCTGTGAAAGCTGCTGGGATGGCAACTTTGAAAACAGAACTTCAAGCAAACTCACCATATCTAACATGCAGAGAAGCATGCTGTTAAGCCTACTACCATTTTCCTTTTTTAGTTTTTATTTAAATTCAGAAGTTTACTTTTCCTATAACTGCCCAGCGTACAAAGGAAAATCGAGCCTTCCAATTGCCAAAATTATATGGTAATATTTTAAGTATGATTTTTAGAGCAGTATCTCTGTTGCTGTTAAGTTCTCCCTTCATAGAACATACAAATAAGTATTAAGTATTATTTACAAATAATACAAATAAGTATTAAAGAAGATCCAAGAATACTGGTTGAATTGGGAGCAATTGCTTAGTGAATAAATTCCTTTTTTAAATTAAAGAACCAGAATGTTTGGATTTGTTTCTCAAAAAGGAAAAATGTTTGTAAAGGCTTGAATGTTTTTTGTATTGAAAGTTTATATGTTAAAAAAGAATCAGGTAAATAAAATTATATTTTGCATTTGTTGTATGTTATTTATCAATGACCACAGATAGGGTTTACCATTTCTCCTGATAAAGAATAAAGCTAGGAAGGGTAGCATTTTATTTAAAACAATACACCTTATATTTGTCTTCCTCTTACTCATTTGCTAACACATGCGACAGTAATTTAACTTCTTTATCATTTGCTTCATTCTGAGTTTCTGTACTAAGATAAAATAGAATCATGTGACTGAGAATTCCTCTTAGATGTTCAATGTGGTACCTTTTTCTCCAGAAACATCCAGGAGATAAATCAACTCAGAGTTTGTGTGCCATAGCCATCCTGGTGATTTACATACTTATTACTTAATATTGACCATAATATGACTTGCTTCATTTCGATCAAGTAAGGTATTTCTCACATAAGTGAATCTTTCCATTAGGATTCTAGAAGTAACTTTCCTGTCTTCTAACTAAGCTGCCCTTCTTTCATGGTTTCAACCTTCCCTCAATCTTTTCAATATAATGAATTTCTTCATAGCTGGTTCTCTAGATTCACTGACATTTTATTGATTGCCTTTGTCAGTCCTTGATCATTATTGTAGTTTGAATTTAAATTAAATGCCCCCAAGGCTTTGTGTTAAAGGTTTGGTCCCCAGCTGGAGGCACTTTTGGGAAGTGGTGGATTCTTTAATAGGTTAGTTAGAGGAAGTTAGGTCATTGGGGTTGGTCCTCAAAAGGGTATTGGGACCCCATCCCCTCTTCTCTTTTTGCTTCCTCTCAACCTTGAGGTGAACAGGTTGCCTCTGACATGTGTTTCCATCATGACATACTGAACTACAATGGGTACAAAGCTACTGAGTCCAGAATCATGGACTGAAACCTCTGAACCCATGGGCTAAAATATGTCTTTCTTCCTTTAAATTGTTTATCTCAGGCAATGAAAAGCTAAGTGAATGATCATCATATGATTTACTTCCTAATATATTTCCCAGTAGTGGGAACATAAATAAGGGATAGACTCTCAGTCTAAGGTATTTTAATTTTAACATGAATGTGTGTCTCCCATTCTTCCAAGGAATTGTCCATAGCCCATGAACCAAGCGTCTGAGAATGGTCAGTTGTGGATAGGCGGACATGAGCAGAAGCAAAAGATCAGAGGTTTTAAGAAAACTGAGAACTGGATGGAAAAATTGAAGCTGTGTATTAATCAACAATTTGCCCACAGATAGCAGAAAGTTGACATCTGACACCTCAATGATTTCTAATCTTATTCTGCACCGCTAGTCAGGTAGAAAATCATTTGAAAGATGTATGACTTTAGCAAATGATAGTGTTTTATCTGAATTAAGTGAGATTGCTTATATTAGATCAAACCTGTTTTCTAAGCAGAGTATACCATGTAGTTACAAAACTACCACCTGAATTCATGAATCATTTCCTACAACCATATAAACATCAATTAAATAAAATATCACTCAAGAATTGGGGCCACAGACTACACCATCTCTGAGTAGAGAAGGTGAAGGCAGATCACCTGCTCCACATCCCCTGTGCATCTGTATGGCTGACATCTTGTCTTAAAGGGAAAAAGAAAGCAGATCCCTAAAAATGAAGATGGAACCTCAGATGAGAGTACAAAAAGTTAGTGTACGGATTCCCTATGTCAGATATAGCTATGCCTGCTTGCATTCTCTTGTTTATTCCTAAGTCTCAATTCTCTCCTCCATCAAAATGGTTTACAGCCACTGTATCTGCTGAACTAGCTTTTTGATGGTCAGGAATTTTAAATGAGATCACACGTATCTGAATTTTATGCAGCTCGAGCCAGCTGGACTCCACAGCATCTGAAGCCCATCACCCTCTTACTGATCTTAATTTCTGCAGGATGACTCTGGTGCCGGATCAAGTGCATATTTGGAGACTTGCTGTCTATGTACTCATAGTACATTTGCAAGAATTTATCTCACTTCAGGTGATTCTTCTCTCTGTTCTGCTGGCCTCAAATTAGTAAGCAATGTGGAGATCCAGAGGATGCCTATGATAAAACTGAGAAATGGTAGCGCATCAGCATTATATGTAACCTATAGTTGTAGCTTCCAAAACTAATTATGAATACATGTGAGACATATTTCTTTTCAGTGTTACAGTGAAGCACAAAAAGACACATGCAAAGCTGCCTTCCCTTGAATTGAGAAACAAAATGCTGAAGATAAGCATTTGTAACTTCTTATTCTCTTGTTCTGGTGAATGGAAAAAGAAGCATGATTACAAAACTCTTCATATTTATCTGTTTGTGTGTCTTTCTGTTTTTATGTCATTTGTTGAACATCCTGTTTATGCAAGATGGAAGCTGTATATTTAATCATGATAATGTTCATTTCTGAACCCCATAATAAAATTAGACTATTCTTTTAAATCACTTTTCAGTAGGAGACTTCAAAGTTCTTAAGAACTTTCTAAACTTTGTAAGCTGGTTAAAACCTAATATTCAACATATTTCATTAGAACAGGCTTCAGGATATTTCCCCACATGCCACATTGTGAAGAAATAAATTAAAAATGAAGTAATAAGGAACAAAAAGGCCCAGTTATGAAATCGTACATTTGCAAATAGGAATTTTCTGTCTCCACAGCCTGGCCTCAGCCCACAAGGATGCCTATTAACTCACAAACAGTTTCTATACAAAAAATAATTTGGATCACTTCTAGAAACCAATAAGACTGTCATTGAGTGATTATCTAAACCAATGCTATGGGTCTGACTTAGTAATCTAAAATCCATGCATGCAACACATATCGAAGTGAAAGAAATTCAAGGGAACTGCAGATATAATTTCAATTCAATAACCAATTGTTTACAGGACCTCAAACAAATACTGTTAAGTTTCTTCCTTCTTATGCAAATAAGTTTCCTTAAAGCCATCATCATGCTAATGGATGTCTGGTATCCTTTCTCTTAAGATCTATTATGTGTTTTAAGATTAAACTGTGTACTGAAGTCCCAAGTGTTAAACATCTAAAAATTTATGTTAAGTGCAAGGATCAACCTCCAACTTCTCTGAAACACTACATGCCTTTCTGGAGAAATTAAAGCAGGTTATGATGGTGCATGCCTGTATTCCCAGTTACTTAGGAGGCTGAGACAGGAAGATCAGTTAAAACCTGAAGTTTGAGACCAACCTGGGCAGCATAGTAAGACACACTCTCAAAAATGAGGAAATGCACAGGTCATCAGAGTTTAAAAATCTACCTCTTCCACTCTGCACTGTGAAAAGAAAACTGATGGAAAACCTCAAACAGGGGCTGGGGATTTAGCTCAGAGGCATAAGCTCCTGCCTTGCAAGCAGGCAGTCGTGAGTTCGATCCCTGGTACTGATAAAAAGGAAAAAGACAAAAAAAAAAAAAAAAAAAGAAAGAAAAGAAAAGAAAAGAAAAGAAAAGAAAACCTAAAACAGTGAAGTGCTGTCCAAAGCTAGGCACTTTCAAAAAGCATAGTAGTATCACCAGTAAAATCTGGGAATGTAGAGATCAAGAGAATTATCAATCATTTAGCTACAAAACATAGTCTGATCTCTTCACAAAAGCTTATAGTAGTTCTACCACTGCTGACCTGGTCCTCTAAGAGACATACACATGGGGTTGGGGATTTAGCTCAGCGGCATAAGCACCTGCCTTGCAAGCAGGCAGTCGTGAGTTCGATCCCCGGTACCAATAAAAAGCAAAAAGACAAAAAAAAAAAGAGAGAGAGAGAGACATACACATACAGGAATGCCCAGCACTTGGGAATAGGGATTTGGAGAGACCCCCTAGAGTAAAGTGTTGTAAATTAAAGAGAAACTACATCTGATTCCCTCTTAGAACCAGGACTGAGCGTGGTTCTTGACCAGGATGGACGTGCTCCTCAGCTCATAGCTGTACATTCGCCCCCTTGTATCTCTCCCTACCAGCAATTTTTCCTTAGCTCAAAATGTTCACATTGCTCACCTGTAAAGAGCCTTCCTACCATTCCATGCCTTCCTTTAACTTTTATCAAAGTCTCACTTTCTCCTTACAGCTAAATAATTTAAAAGAGTGACAAGCACTTCGTCATCAACATCTCACCTTGTTTCTCAACCAGCTGACCAAGCTTGTGGCTTCCATCCTCACCAGTCCACTGACTTGCCCTCCTGAGGTCACCAGGATACCCACCCGCTGATCCAATCCTGCCTCTAACCGCTCCACATCTCAGAAGAATTCATGGTTAATGACCACCTTCTCATTTAGACTTGTCCTTGGGAGAAAGGACACCTTTCGTCGCCTCTCCCCTCTTACCTCTGAGCATCCTCTTTCTCTTCTTGTTCTTCAAGCTTCTGTGTAAGTTCCTGCAGCCTTACTCTTGTCTTCCTGATCTTTGCTATCTATACAATGTCAGCCTCTCTATGGTTACCACAGATAAGTTAGTTAACTTTTAAAACTGCCATTAAAGAATATAAATACAAGTAGAAAGAGCTATTTCACTCTTCTCATTAAATCTTGACATTCAGTTTTTAATCTCATCCTCCAATCACAAAATTTTTGTTAAAATTTCTATCTTTCCCAATGAGACTCTATTATACTCAAGAACTCATCCAAAGGCAACACACTGCTATATAGTTAATAAAGGGAACCAAAACTCACCTAAACTATGGATAAAAAATAAGGTCTTCTCAATCCTTATTTTCAGTTCAGGAGCTTATGTAAACTCTTATTTTTTCTTTATTTTTTTCCAGAACCAAATCAGAATGTATAAATACTCCCATTGAAACTATGAGGCCTAGGAGACAATTTTAAGAACAAGTTTGATAAGTATCTTGGAAGAGTCCCTAAATTGTGGGTTGGAAATCTCATATCATAAAACAGTTGTTTTAGACTGAGACAGTGACATCAATCACTTTATCCTTGTTTTTAATGTTATAGGCAATAGCTTTACAGAAAAGTTCTCTATTATTGTGTTATCTCTGGAAAAAAATCTTTTTTGTCCT